CAACCCTTCCGATCAATTTAATCAGACTTATCTGTTTTGTTTTTGCGTCGGGGAAAGGGCGGGGGGAGGACTTGGGGCTTTATTTTTTCCTGACCGATTTTTACCCTTTTACTCGAAACGGTTGACAAAGTTTTCCCTCCTATTTTTTTTTTTTTTATTCTTTCCCTGGAAAAAAAACTGGATTTCTGACGTTTGTCCGTCCAACGACGACGACGTGTGGAAATGTTAAAAAATTTCTTTGATAAATATTCTCTAAAAGTATAGGAAAGGGAATCTGGAACCGGAAGTCGGGGAAGAGGAAAAGAGAGAGAGAGAGAGAAAAAAAAGGAAGTTGTTACATTTAATTTCAATTGTAAATTTTTTTTTTTTCACTCTCCTGAGGGACGTTTTCGATCCGAGTCTTTTGCCCTATTTTTCACCCCTTTAACAACACCTTAGCATATTTTTTTTTTCCTCTCGTGTAATAACAATAATAATAATAACTTTTAACTGGAATTATCATTCCAAAAAAAAATTCCATATTATTATTATTATTATTTTCCTGTGAAATTCTCCGCCGTTATGGGATTTTACGTCATTTATCCCTTTCGATATAATTTTACCTTATTATAATTTTTTTTTTTTTTTAGTAATGTTGGTAATACGTTTTTTTTCTCCTGTCGTAAACGTCCGTTCAATATTATTATTATTATTATTATTTCGTGCGTCATATTTGTAAATGAATCACGCGTTTTGTTTATTACTCATCGAATCATCCTCTCCCCAAAAGTTTTTTTTTTTTTTTTTTTAAATTATTTTGTTTTTTTAGTTGTAAACAAACGTTCGAACTGTTTGTTGCTTTGCTGTTTGTCGTTGTCGTCGTCGTTAAAATTTTTATTTTAAATGGTAAGAAAATCGTTTTCCGTTTTTTTTTTTTTTTTTCTGACGTGATAAGTTATCGTTTTAAAAAAAAAAATTTTCAAGTGGTCATCAGAGTGATAGGAAAAGGAAGAAAGGAAGGGAGGAAGAAGGGAGATAGACAAAAAAGGGAGACAAAAAAAAAATCTCGAATTACAAAATTTTTATGTATCTAAAAACCGTTATTTGGCAAATTGATATATATATAGTCTTCGGGTCATCAACGAATCAAAAATGCTGAGAAAATCATTTTGTTCAAATAATAAAAAAGAAAAAGAAGAAAATTACAAATGGAAACGAGATACGGAAATGTTTTTTTTTTTTCTCGAAAGAAAATAAAAAAAAGGGAAATGACGTCATAATAATAAAATAATGTGTTGATATATGTCTGTGACTTATTTTAAAGCAGGAGCTGGAGGAGGGAAAAAAAAGAAAAAAGTTTAAATTTGATTGATTTGAAGTAGGTTTAGGTGTGGGCGGATCGGTTCTTAAAAAAGAAAATTCCAGAAGGAATCATCGGTCAATGAAGAGAACCTAAGGGGTCAATCGAAGGAAATGAACAATCGCGACGTCAGCGAAAAATTTCCCTCCTCCATCTCACACACACACACGAATTTTCTTTTTATTATTTAATATATATAGATATTATTAAAACGCTTTGATCGTCTTTACTTATCTTACGATTAAAACAATTAATTTATAATCGGGGAAGTCTTGATTTTTTTTCACTATCGTTCGTTTTTTAAATTGAATTTAATTTTTTATGTTTAACTTATGTCGATGGGGGAGTTTTTTATAATTTTTTTTTTCTTCTCAAGAAACTAACGGTGGTTTCTGTATGTATCCACACACGCACACATACTGGAACGTTTTCTTTTCTTTTCTTTAAGTTTGCTGGAGAATTAAAAAAAAAAAAAATGAAATGGGAATTGATTTGTTTTATCACGTTTAGCTTTTGGGAAAAAAGGTTTTTTTTTCATTTTTTTTCTTTTTTTTTTTTTAACAAATTTTTCACAGTAAGATTCTTTCGAATTGGATTTTTTTCCCCTTCTTCTTTTTTCTTCTTTTTTTTTTTTTTTTCTGGAAACAAATGAGAAAGTTAAAGTTTTATAAAAACCTACTACACATTAACTTCGGGGATTTGTTGGAGGGTGGGGGAAGGGAAATCAAATGGTCAGTCATCAGTGACGGATTAAGAGAAAATTTTGGAAAATAATTTTTTTTTTTAATCCGACAACTTTATAAAAAATTATTTACCCTTCGTTTTTCCGGATTTTTTTTTCCCGGGTTCTTTCGTCGTAATTTTTCGGGAAATTAAAAAAAGGGGTCAATGACCCCTCACCGGCGTGTAAGAATGAATGATTGACGTCATAATTTCAATAGTACTAGAAAAACATTTTCGCGATTCGTTACGACGTTCATTTCGTGTCGTCATCACACGTTTTAAACGATTCATTTTTTCGTTTTTCGTGTACCCTTATTTCGTCCCTGTTTTAAATAGCAATAAATTGAGAAGGAAAAAAAAAAGGAAAAGGAAAATTCCACACCGCCTTTTTTTTTTTTTTTTTCAAAGGTCGAAGGCGTCAAATGGAAACAATCACTGATAAGATTTTTTTTTTTTTTTTCCAACCCCTTCCTTTGAATTCTTACTACCCATCTCGATTTCTTAACTGGAACGACAGCGGTTCGACATTTTTTTTATTTTCTTCTCCTCCTTAAAGTTTTTCAAACGTAAAAAAAAAAAAAAAAAATTTCCTTCTCATTTCTTTTTTCTCCCTCCCCTCCTTCCCCTTCCCCGGGTTTTTTTTTTTTGATAAATAGGTGGTAAAGGCTGCTGACCGCTGCTGTTTTCTTTCTCTTTAACTTTTTTAGAAAAATGAAGGGTCGACTTTATTCAACTTTAAATGTGTATATATATATAAAAACGTCGTCAGATTTCAATATCGACAAATTTTTCCACTTTATTATATACATTTTTTTTTTTTTTTTATTGAAAATATATTATTTTAGAATATTGATATTGTTAAATTTATGCTCTCCCCTCTCCGTCTCCCTTCCTCTCTCTCTCTTTCTCTTTTTTTTCTTTTCCTCGCGTCGTTATTATTTGTTATTTTTCATCCCGTTTTTTTCTTGATTCGTTTTCCATATTTTTTTTTACTCGATATATTACGCACACACATTTGAGATTTTTTTTTTTCATTTTGTTTTTCGTCACGATTTACGTCATATTTTTAACGTTATTTATGACGTACGGTGACCGATAATCAGGACCGTAAGAAGGTAAAAAAAATTTATTTATTTTTGTTAAAAACATTTCGATAATTATCGCGCGTGATTTTTCGCGATTTTTCTTCTGTTTTCGTTTAAATGAATTATTATTATTATTATTATTATTATTATTATTATTATTATTATTATTATTATTATTATTATTATCATCATCATCATCATCATCATCATCATCATTATCGTCGTAGTCGTGGTGGCATTTTTTTTTTTAATGTAAGAGGGACGTACGTAATTTATATGAAGGGAAATTTATTTTTTTTTTTTTTTTAGGTGCTTAGGGATTTTTAATATCAGGAGATTCACACCTCAGTGATCATTCATAATCTTTTTATTATTATTATTATTATTATTATTATTAGTAATGAAATAATAAGAGAATGAGAAAAAAAAGGAATATCTTAGTTTTTTCCATTCTGATTTGTTTGTTTTAATTAATCGAATCGTTCGGAGTAGAAAAAAAAAGGAAAAATCGAGGAGGAAAAGTCGAGGAAGGGAAAAATTAAAATTAAAAAAAATAAAAAAAAATTATCCCCATTGTCTTCAAATCTTCTCGAACCTTCTTCTTCCTTCCCCCGCCACTTCCCGCCTCCGCCACCACTTTTCTAAACGGGGGAGGGGAAGGGAAGGGGGAACCCTTCGTTTATTTTCTCCATTTAAAAAACTTAAATTATTTCAACAACAAAGTTAAACGTGGTGGCGGAGGGGGAGAGAGAGAGAGGGAGGGAGGGAGGGGAAAAGGAGGGGAGGGGATGATGATGACGGTCACGAAGTGGATGAGAAGAAAAGTTGATAATTATTTTCATAAGGTTATTATTTTTTTTTTTTTTTATTTTTTTTTTTGTTATTATGAAGACAAATGGATTATTTCCGGTCGTCTTCTTCTTGTAGGAAAAAAAAAAAAAATTCCAAGCGATGTTAAAAGGGGCGGTGGTGGTGGTGGTGGAGTAAGAAAAAGGGGTGGAAAAGTCGATTTAAGTAAAGAAGGAAGAAAAAATGAAAGAAAGAAAGAAAAAAAATGGAATCAACCCTTTAATTTTTTTTTTTACCCTCCCCCCCATATAATCAATACTTATTAACCCTCGAGTCAAAGAAGATGAGATGAAATAAAGAAAAAAGCCGGTTTTTATTATCGTAGTTTAAGTCTAAAAGATTTAATTGGTCCAGAGATGGGAGGAGAGTGAGAGGGAGGGAGTGTTGGGAATGAGGGAAAAAAACCGACCGGAAAATGTTTCTTTTCTATCTTTTTCTTACCGACTTCCGTTTCCTTTTAACCTCGCGGTTGAATTTTCTTTTTCTGTTTTTCTCGCGTACTTTTTTTATTTTATGGTCTTTCTTATTATTTTTTCCTTTGGCTGTCGTCACCCTCGTCGTCCTCCTTGTCGCCCTCGTCGTCGTCGTCGTCATCGTTTTTCGACGTTTTGTTCTCTACGGGACGATTAAATCGTGCTTTTGTTTTTTCCTTCTGGCTCGAACTCGAGTATATCTACCGTTGCATCCTTTTAAACTCCCCCCTTTTACCTCCCCATCTTATCGTTTCTACTCATCGTTAATCGTTCCTTGCTGTCGAGTGTAAAAAAAAAGCGAATCTTATATAAAATCGCGACGTGGTACTTGATCGTGTTGTTTTTTTTATTGTTTTTTCCTTTTAAATTTCCGGAAGTTTCTGGGTTTGCTGTCTTCTGCTGTCGCGTAAAATACCAAAAAAAATTACTTTAATAAAAATTTAATTAACATAATAAATGTAGAAATTAATTTTTTTAATTTTGCTGTTGTTATTGTTGCAGGAATTAAATGGCTCAGCTTCGGCTGTTGAAATGGAAACATTTTTACCTGGAGACGGATCAGGTTTAAAAGACGGAAACAGTCAAAAGTAAGTTATAATAAAATTAGTTCATCTAACAGTAATCTTTTTTTTTTTTTCTGTTAAAAACGTTGAAAAAAAAAACCGTCGCCGCCGAATTAAACAATGTTGCGACATAAAATTAGTGTCAGAAACGAGAAAAAAAAATAAAATTGAGAGTGAGAGAGAGAGAGAGAGAGAAAGGGGACGAATAAAAAAATATATAATGGAAAAGAGAGAGAGAGAGAGAGGAAAGAGATGAAGGGTAAAAGCGAAATAACTAAAAATTCATTTTAGTTTTTTTTATTTTTTTATTTTTAGTTATTCTTTAATTTTTTTTTTTTTGTAGTCTAGAAACTTCCACTCGTTTGTTTTTCCCCCTTCTCGAAATTTTTTTTTTTTTTTTTGTTAAGGTTTACTTCCGGGGAAATATATATGTATATATATATATTCGCGGAATTCAAAACTCGAAAAGTGGCAATTATTCGAATGAGTGAGCATTTTCATTTCTTCTGCTTCTCCAGGGGAATTAATTTTCTTTTGTTTTTTTTAAATTTTTTCTTTCTTTTTTTTTCTTTTTTCTTTTCTCTTTTTCCCCCTCTGTCTCTCTCTCTCTCTCTCTTTTTTTATTATTTGCTTGATTTCGTTTTTCGTTTCGTTTCGTTTTTTTTTTTTTTTTACGTCTTTATCACTGGAATTCATATGGAGGTGGAAAGAGGTGTCGTAAAATTCAATTCTTACAAACAAAAAACTTTTTTTTTTTTTTTTTTTTTTTTTTTTTTTTTTTAAATATAAAATTTTAATTCGGGAACGGGGGGAATTCTTTAAAATGGCGACGAAATTCCTGCAGAATTCGAACGAATGAAAAAAAATAATTTTTTAAAATATTTATTTTGTTGTCGTTTATGTCATTTCCGTAATTTTCCCCATTTTCTAAAAAAAAAAAAATTCCAAATGAAATTTGCGTTTTTCGAGCCAAAAATTAAAAAATCCTAAGATTTTAAAGAATAAATTTTTAGCGACCGTTTCATCCGCCATTTTGAATTTTTTTTGTTGATAAGAATTAACTCTTTTTACCGCGTAAATAAGTTTACACGTGTACGCACTTCCGCCGGGCGATTTTAAATTCGATACTTCCGGTTATTTATTTATTTAATCGAAAATAAAAGAAAAAAAAATCGTTTTTCGAAATGAATTGTGTCGTTATTTTTTTAAATTAAAAAAATTTTCGGCGGGAAAAAGTCAAAAAGGTTTTTTCGATTTGACGTCACGGAGTTAAAAAAAAAAAAGAAGGAATATAATGACGTCATATTTGTCTTAAGTAAATACCGTTATTTATTATACGCGATTAGAATGACATTAACCTTTTTTTTTCTTTCTCTCTCTCTCTCTCTTTTTTTTTTTTCCTTATAACGTTATCATCACTGACTATTTACCGTTTTAGAGGGGGGGAGCCGAGGGAAGAAGAGGGGGTTCTTTTTAACTCATTTCGGTGGATTTTTTTTTCGTTGTGAAGGATAAAAATCTCGATTTTGAAATGGAAAGACTGCCAAGTTAAATAATGTCAGGATGTTAGAAAGTAAATCTTGAATTATTTTTAGGTATACAGGTTATCCCTAAAATTTTTATTTCCTTCGGGAAAAGATCTCCCCGAGGATAGGGGGGAGACGCGTCCTCCCTCCTATCCCCTCAACATCGATCACGGGAATATCGACAGTTTCTCAATCGAAAAATTGATTTCGTTTTAACAAACGAGACGAGAACGGATTTGAATGAAAGAAACGAAACGAAAAATTCGCGACAAATCGAAACCTGTGCGGGAAAAAACAAAACGTGACGTAATTATTTCATTTTTAATGTTTACCTTATGACTATTTTTTTTTACACGGATTGTTTTACGTTTAGTCGAACGACGGAAGGCGTGAAAATTTGACCATTATTTTTAATTTTTGAAAGAGGAAAATTCGGTGAAGAAATGTAAGTAAATAACATAAATCATGTTTTGTTTTCTTTTGGAATTTTTGAATGTGATTCGTTTGTACAAAACCGGAAGTGATCGTTTAAAAAAAAAATCCCGTCGCGAATATGAAAACAGTTAACGATATAATTTAATTTTTGTATAATAAATTTACGCGTCATTTTCATCCTTTTTTCACCGGGTTTTTCCAAAGGGAAAATAACAACACCGGTGGCACCGGTGTCGGTGTTGTCGTTGCCGCCGTCAGCACCACCACCACCGCCACCGCCGCCAACATGTTAAAACAATTTTTCCTCTTGTTTTTTTCGCCTTTAATTTCATTATCCATCTCCTCTTCTTCGTCTCTTATTATTCTCTTTTCCGGTTATGTAAATATAATTTCTTTTTTTTTTCTTTTTTTTTTTTTAGAAGGGTGAGAGAGGATGGAGAGCGCATGGTAAAGAAAAAAAAAAAAAAAATTAAACGAAAAAATTTTCATGTTGTGAATTTAAAATTAGTCTTTAAATAAAATATTTGATCTAAAAATGAAAAAAAAAAAGCAAACAATGACGGGGAAAAAGTTTGATTTCCGTGCGGAAGAATACAAAAAAAAAAAAAAAGAAAAAAACTTTTCCGTACTATTTTTTCTTTCGATTTTCCTGGAATTTTTTCTTCTCTCTCCCCCTCTCTCCCTCTCTCTTTCTCTCTCTTTCTTTACACTCTTTTTTTTTCTTTATTCCTTTTATTCTGATACTTTTCACTTTTCTTTCTTTTTTTTTCTTGACAGATTAAGTTATGGTTTCCTTTTTTTTTTTTTTTTATTCCTATGAAAAATATTTTCAAAGTGAGAAGTTTACTCTTTCTCTCTCTTTCTCATTTTTCCTTTTCGTCATTCATTCATTCATTCATTCATTCATTTCGAATTAATTCTTTTGAAATTATTATTATTTTCTTTTTAAAAAGTTTTTCCGTTTTTTTTTAAATAAATGAATGATTGATTTTGGTATTAATGAATTTAAACTGGGGAGAAGAGTTTTCACGATGACGTCACGGGATTTTATCGTCGTTCTCGGCTGTTCTTTGTTTAATCACGTGATTTCTTTTTCAGGTACAAAATAACACCCAAGGACGGTGAAAATGGTAGCAGGTACAAGGATAAAGATTATTGGGATCCTTTCGCCGTGAGAAAAGTCGCGGATCCCACAACGTGAGTTTTTCTTTTTCTTTTTTCTTTTTTTAAAGGGGGATAGGTTGGGGAGTTGGGGAGAGGGGTTGAAGATTGACGCGACAATTTAAAAAAAAAAAAGGAGAGAAAGATTTTACTTTTTTCTTTACATAATTTTTCGTTATGGAAAAAAATTAAATTTTTTTTTGTTTTTTTTTTGGAAAACGTGACGTAATTTTCTCCAGAAAAGAAAATTAAGTTTTTTCCCCTTCCCTCTTCCGACTAGAGGATGGAGGGCATAAAATAATAAAAATGGAAGTGGGGGAGGGAAAGGGGAGGAGGAAAATCATACGCGAAATGAAAATTTTTTACAAAGAAAAAAAAAAAGAGTAAATTTTATTAATTATTTATTTGTTTGTTAGTTTGGATGTTTGTTTGTTTATTTGTTGATTTGTTTGTTTTTTCCACAGTGACTGTGATACGTTAACGCATCTTTTGAAAGCTTCACTCGGTACCGGTATATTGGCAATGCCGGATGCTTTTAGAAATACCGGTTTGACATTAGGGATATTTGCCACAATTTTTGTGGCTTTCCTTTGCACGTATTGTTCGTACCTATTAGTGAGTACTTTTCTTTTTTTATTACGGGTACTCGTTGTCGTACCTTTTTTCTTAAAATATTTTTTCCTTTTTTTCGTTTTTACAGGTTAAATGCGCTCACGTTTTATATCACAGAACGAGAGTGACGTCGATGAGTTTTGCCGAAGTTGCCGAAGCGGCTTTCAATTCCGGACCTAAACCTGTTCAAAAATATGCATCCTTTGCAAAATTTATCATACAGTTCGGATTGTGGCTCACGTATTTTGGAACGTGTAGCGTTTACACGGTCATCATCGGTAAAAATTTTGCTCAGGTACGTGCGTACGTGTGTGTGTGCGAGTTGATTCGCGAGAAAAGAAATATGAAACAAAAAAAAAACGAGATGGTATGGTAAAGGGAGGTAGAAAGAGAGAGTGGGGGAGGGGTAAAAAAGAGTTTTCCAGAATTAAATTAATTATTAAAAAAAAAAAAATTACCTCCGAGGGATGAACGAATATTAAAAAAAAAAATGTGTGCGTTTAAAGTTAAAAAAAAAAAAAAAAAAAAAACGGGAATGTTGGAAAAAATTTTTTTAAGGGTGAGTTAAGGGATGTAAAAATAAACAAATCTTTCATTTTTTTTTTTTTTTTTTTTTTTTCAAAACTAAAATGATAATTATCGAAAGAGTGGGAGAAAGAGAGAGAGAGTATGTGTGTCGGGGAAAAAAAAAATAATGATAATAATAATAATAATTTTTATTTTTTTTTTTGACTTTTTTTTTTGTTCGAATTTTCTTGTGTTTCACAGCTGTCGACTTCTCATGATTTCGAATGGGTTTTACCCTTAAAATTTTTTTCATCCCCCTTAAATTTTTTTTTTCACTCGTTTCTTTAAAAAAAAAAAAAAAAAAAACAAAAAGAACGACGACGACTACGAAGTATGAGTGTGTGCGTGGGTGGGTGGGCGTAAGGGGAAAAAGGGGGGCCTGATTTTTTTTCTCTTCTACCTCAACACATTCGCACATGTGTTTTCAATCTAAATATTAATTCATTTTAATGCAGTAGTTGGGTTCCCCGCCTTTTTCTTTTTGTTTTTAAAAACTCAGGAAGCGGGTGTGGGAGCTGTCGGAGGGTGGTGAAATGCGGGGAGAAGAGGAAGATGGGAATGTGGGTGGTAATGAAAATGAGGGTGGTTAAATCTTTTTTTTTTTTTTTATTACACATTCCCTCTTTCAAATCGAAGGTTTTTTTTTACTATTATTATTATTATTGCTAGAATTTATTAAATTTTTTTTTTGGTTTGTCCAGGTCGTGGATCATCACACTGGAGAAGAATTAGATCAAAGATGGATCATCGGGGGATGTCTCGTTCCGCTCATTTTACTCAGTTGGGTACCCAATTTAAAAAAACTCGCACCCGTTTCGATGGTGGCAAATATTTTCATGGGAGTCGGTTTGGGAATAACTTTTTATTATTTGGTTTGGGATTTGCCACCGATAAGCGAAGTCCCCCAAGTCGGTTCCATCGATAATTTTCCAGTTTTTTTCAGTTTGACCATTTTCGCTATGGAAGCCATCGGAGTGGTGAGTTTTTTTTTTTTTTTTTTTAATTTAATTAATTGATCGTTGTAATTGCCCGATTTTATTTTTTCATTCCTCATTCTCCTTCTCCCCTGGGTCTCTTTGGCCCCCCTCCCTCCTATCCTTCGGTTCCTCTTTTTTTTTTTTTTCTTTTACTTCCCTTTTTTCACGACTAATCACGACGGGTAATTAATTATACGAAACAGAACCGAATGAATTTTTTTCTTTTTTTTTTCTCTTTCTGTAATAATATTAAAATAAATGGCGGCGTCTGCTAGACGCCCCGCTTTATCACTCAACCCTTTTGTTATGATGTATACGACGTTCGAAAGGTGCGTGTGCGTGTGCGAGTAAGGGAAGATGTGGAGGGATGATAGGATGAGCAGAGAAACATTCTGAAAATGGGCCAAAAAAAATTTTTTACTTTTGTATTTTCCACCGGAAGCATTTGGCATCATTCTGTTCGTTATATATATATAAAATCTCTTTTGTAAATGATTTAAAGTTCAAAAGGTCAATTGAAAATTTAATGACGGTCGTGATTTTCGTCGTAGGAGAAACTTTTCAAAATTCGGTAAAATTTAAAACGAAGTAAAACAAAAAAAAAGAAAATTTTTCGTTCTCAAAGAGAAAGGGAGGAAGAGAGGGGAGGGAGGGGATTGAAAAAGAAAAAAGAAAAATAAAGATTAGGGTTGATTTATCAGGTAGCTATTGAAGATTGATTTGCATGGAAAGAATACTTACTTTGTGAGAGGAGGCAGGGAGCAGGAGGGATGAAACGGATGGATAGATGTGTGTGTGTGTGTGGGATGAAAGGGAAGGAAAGAAAAAGGAGGTTAAATCGAAAGTAATATAAAGTATCGGAATGTTGGCAAAAAAAAAAAAAAGGAAAAAAAAGGAAAGAAAAGATGGAAGGAGGGGGAGGGGAGTGTGCAGGGGAGAGAAAAAAAACGTAAAAATAAATTAGAAGACATCAGAAAAAGTTAGAAAAAAAGGTTGTCACTCTCTCTTGGTTGATCGCGTTGTTGAGAAGACGCAGATGCTCAATTTTTTTTTTTTTTTTTTATAACTTTTCTCACCTTTTCTTTTTTCCCTTCTCCTCCTCCTCCTCCTTCTCTTCTCCTCCTTTTTTTATTTTAATTTAAAAAAGAAAAAAATTTTTTTCTTTCTCTCCTTTTTCCTTTGTCTTTCGTATTCTGAGAACAAAAAGGGAACTATAAAAAAATATATATAAACATTATGAGAGAAGCGGGGAAAAATGTCGATCGTGGTTGTTGGTTGTTTGGTTGGTTGACGTAAAGGAAATGATTCGAAAAAGTTTTTTTTTTTTTTTTTTCTAAAGAAGGGAATATTGTCGGTTTTTTTTAAATTGATGGAAAAGGTTTTTTCGAAAAATTAAAAAAAAGAAAAAAAAAAGAGGCAATTTTAAAAGAGAGTAAAAAAAAGGAGGAGGAAGAGGAAGAGGAGGAAAAAGGTGGAAGAAGAAGCGTCGGGGAAATTTTTTTTTTTGTTTTGTTGTTGTTGTTGGTAATCCTGGTGTTTGTAATTGAGTTTAAATCGTTTTATGTCCGCTCTTAACTTATTCCCCGATTGCCTTTTTTTTTTCTCCTCTTCCTCTTCCTTTTTTTTCTTTTCTTTTTCTTTTTTTGTATTTTCCGCATAGAATTTCCATAATTGAGATACGTCTTATTTACAATTGTTGTTTTTATCTCTTTTCAAAAAACGACCTACGACGATTCTCCACTCCTCTCTTTTTTTTCTTTATCAACTTCCTTTAAAAGGAATTATATACTTATTGTCAAAGGTAATTTGTTTGTCATTCTCTTTTACTTATTGTTAAGAAAGAAAAAAAAAACATTTTTTTTTTTTTTTGTATATAAAAGTCTAATTATCGTTTGTTTGTCTGGTTTTTTTTTGTTTGTTTGTTCGACACCGAGAAGTGGTTTTCGTTCGCGTGTCGACACAATGCAGATGTCGAATTTACGACATTTATTTCTTGTTATCAGAAAAGAAAAAAAGCGAACGCGAAAGTCATTATCGTATAATTTTATGATTTTTTTTGCACTCCCTCTTTTTCTTCTTCGTGGCTGATCCTGTTGTTGTTCCTGTTTTTTCGTAAATTTGTTTTGTGCGATGATCGCGAAGGGTTTGAGAAAAGGAGGAGTAAAAAAAAAACTCGTGAAAAGGGGTCGTACGGGGAGAGCAATTAATTGAGTTTAAATTTAGTAAAGAAAAAAAAAATACTTAAAAGAGGAAGAAGAAGAAGAAAAAGTCGAGGGTGGATAACGAAAGGAGGAAAAAAAAGGTGAGAATCGAATCGCCGGAAGTACGAGTAAAAAAAAAAAAATCAAATGGAAAAAAAAAATTTTTTTTTTTTTTCTTTCCAATATTTCATCGAATTCTTAATTTTCCAAGACACTTTCAGTTTTTCTTTTTTTTTTAAAACTAATTATCAAATAACAAATCATCTTTGGATGGGGAAAAAAAAAAAAAAAAAAAAAAGAAGAAAAAAAGAAAATTTTTTTTTGAGGGATTTCGGGGATGCGATGACTAAAGGGAAGAAAAAAGAAAAGAAAAGAAAAAAAAACTGTCATCAAAACTCAGGTAGTGTAAAAGTTGAAAAGAAAAAAAAAAGAAAAAAAATTAAAGAAGAGGGAAAGGAGAGAAAGAGAGGGAGGGGTGGGGGAGATGAAGAAAGAAATTGAGGAGAGGAGGAGGTTCGAACACAATCATTTATCAAGAGAAGGAGTAGGAGGACGAGGACGAGGAGGACAGGGAAATCACAAAGAGAGAGTTTTGAAAATGAAGAGGAGGAGAAGGAGGAGGAGGGGCAAATTGGAAAAGAGTATGAGTTTTTAAAGGGGGGAGGAATAAGGAAGAAGTGACGTCACGATGGGAGAGTGGAAAAGAAGAAGAAAAAGAAAAAAAAAGGCGCTAATTGGGTTGATTTAAAAAAATATTTCCACGACAGATTCTTTATTATTATTATTATTATTATTATTATTAATAAATTTTTTTCAATAATAATTTGTTAGAAAAAATGTTGAAGATTTTTAATTAAAGAAGGGAGGGAGGGAGAGAGGGGAAAAAAAGTAAGAAATAAAAAATAAAAAAAAGACAAACAATACAAGTGAGGGTGGAAAGAGGGATGATGATGAGGAGGAAGAGAAAAAAATAAAAGAAACGGAAAAACACAAAGTGGCGACGGGTGCAAGAACAAAATAGAAAGACGAAAGGGGATAGAGTGTAAGAGAGAGAGAGAGAGAGAGAGAGAAGTAGAGCGAAATAGGTAGAAGGGGGAAAAGGAGAGAGAGAGAAGAGATAAACTAAATAAATTTGTTTAAAATAATCTTATTTGAAAATTTATTTTCCAAATAACGAATTAACGTCAGTTTTTTTCGGGAGGAAGGGGAGGGTGGGGATTACCGGAAAAGGAAAAGAATTAAACGTATACGCGATACCGGAAACACTTTACGAAATCATTTTTTTTTAGATAAATTTTTCCCTCGTTTTCTTTCCTCTCTTTCCTTTCTTTTCTTTCTTGATTTTTTTTTAATTCTTTTCTTTTTTCCAGGTCATGCCGCTGGAGAACAATATGAAGACTCCAACTCATTTCCTTGGAATATGCGGAGTACTCAATCAGGGAATGTCCGGAGTCACGCTCATATATATTTTCCTTGGATTTTTCGGTTATTATAAATTCGGGGAAGATTGTAAATACGGGTCAATTACTTTGAACCTTCCGGTCGAAGACTAGTAAGTCGAGGACAAACGTTTTTATCGAATTTTTTCCAGTTTCCGGAAGCGAATCATTCGTTTCCTTTTTGTACTAAAAATTTTATCGTTTTAGCTGTAGAACGAACGGTCCTGAACGTTTTTTTCGGTTTGTTTTTCCAGCGCTGCCCAAGCCGTTAAAATTCTCATCGCTCTCGCCGTGTTTTGTACTTACGGTCTACAGTTTTACGTTTGCCTTGAAATTACCTGGAACGCAATTAAGGATTATTTTCAAAAAAATCAAAAATTCTGGGAATACGTCGTTCGTACTCTACTCGTTACGTTTTCAGGTACGTATTCTTTCTCTCTCTCTCTATAATTCGTTCTTCTTTTCCCTCTCTCTCCCTCTCTCTATTTTTTTTTCTTTTTTTCTTACCTTTCTTTCTGTCTCTCTGTCCCCCTCTCTGTTCTCTGTCTTCTGTCTTTTCTTTCTTCCTTTCTCTATCTCTGTTTGCCTCTCTCTCTCTCTGTAATTTTTTCTTTCTTTCTATTTTTCTCCTATCTTTCTCTCTCTCTAATTTCTTCTTCCTTTCTTTATCTCTTATTCTCCTATCTTTCTCTCTGTCTCTATTTCTTTCTTCTTCTTTTCTCTTTCCATCTCTCTCTCTCTCTCTCTCTTTCTTTCTCTTTCCGTAGAATTTAACTTAAAAAAATTTTTTTTGTTTCAGTCGTTCTTGCCATAATTGTACCAACGATAAGTCCGTTCATCGGTCTCATCGGAGCCTTTTGTTTTTCAATTCTCGGTCTCATATGCCCCTGCGTCATCGAAGTGATAACATATTGGGACGATCTCGGAAAAGGAAAATGGATAATATGGAAAAATTTACTCATAGGTTTTTTCGGAGTTTTAGCTCTCGTTTTTGGAACGTACACGAGCATATTGGACATAGCGTCCCTCTACGCTCCATCATCGGATGTCGTCGAACCGATGTCGGATTTTGGAAACGTTACGGAAAGTTTTAATTCTACTACTCCGTCGTGGTAGAAAAAAAATTTTTTTTTTTTTTTTTTTTTTTTTTTAGAAAATATTTCGAAAGAATGTAAAAAAAAAATATTAAAAAAAAAATGTCGGGAGGGAATCATCAAATGAAAATCGAAACGGTGACGTTCCCCGTTTCGAGTAGCATAAATATATACAATTTGGACGAACGGATATAAAAGCCCGTTCGTCATCAAATCACTGCGCTCACTCACACACTTATCAATTGGAACGTTTTTTTTTAAAAAAAAAAAAAACAAACGTAACCGAAGAAGGGGGGAGGGAAAGAGAGAAAGAGAGAGGAAAAAAATTTGAAGAATTTATAAAAAAAAAAAATTTCAAAAAAAAAAAAAACGTATTGGAAAAAAATTTTGGAGACTGGAAAAGAAAAACCAAAAAAACAGAAAAATAACGAATTTTTTTTTTTAAATTTAACGCAGCGTTACGAACGCGACGTTCGCTTTATTTTATTTTATTTTTTTCAAAATCTAAATCCGTCCATTTGTTCTCCTCCGTTTGTTGCCCATTTCCATTGCCCATTTGCAAGCCATTCGTTCGTTCGTTCCTTTTTTTTTTTTTTAAAAAAAAAAATCTGCATTTTAAAAAACAAATTAATAGTCATAGTAATAATAAGAATAATAATAATAATTTTTTCCAGTTCGATTCGAACGTGCCTTTTTTTTCCGTGCCTGTAAGCCGTTCGTTCATTCCGCCATTCCCCCCTCCACCCCAATATCGCGGTTCGATTTCATACGTAGAAGAACCGATTGATGTACGTTCATGTAATTGACGGAAACGAGACGATCATTCTTCGATGACAATCCATTTCATGACGTCATCGGGTTCGCGCTAAGAATTTTTTTTTTTTAATTCACTCGTGCCTAATAAATCGAATCAAACCTCGCTGAAAAAAAGAAAAAATTAAATTAAATTAAAATTAACGAATTTTAATTATCATTATTGTTATTATTATTATTAATTATGTACAGATTTTATAAATAAATATATTATTACGATGACGTAATAAAAAATTAATTGCCTTTTTTCTCGCCAGGGGAGGAGAAAAGGCGGGAATGAGCGGAATAGGGTTCAGTTTCGGGTTTGTTGGTCGTTTATTTGTGATTTTTTTTTATTATTTTCTCTCCCCAGGAAATTATAGTGAAAAAAGTAAGTTTTTTTTTTAAATATACACCCACGCGATGAGTACGTATTTTAAATTTATCATTATTGTCATTTATTATTATTTTATTTTTTAAATAAAAAAAAGTTTTATTTTTTAATTTGGTTTTTTTTTTTTGTTTCTCCATATATATTTCATTAGTTAGTGAATCTAGTTTATTGTGATGTTATAGTTTATAGTTTATAGTTTTTTTATAGTAGTTTATGTTTAAGTTTACAAATGTTCAATGGTTTGTGTGATAAAAAGAAGCTTGGGCTATAAAATACACCTCAAAAGATGCCTCAGTACACATTTGACTACTACTGGTAAGTACTTCATTTTAATATTTGAATTTCACTTGTAAAAGTGTTAGGCTAACAAAGAAATGGTGCCAAAATACCCAAAAATAACAAAAAAGTTGACAAATTTTACAATTATTTGGTTAATTATAAGTGGTTGGACTGGTTATCTATTACATTTCATCATAAAAAACAAGATGGTGGAGTAGTTTAATGAAAATTTCTGTTAATTATTGATTGATTGATTTGATATATTGATTCAGTGTATAAATTTCTATACTCTGTATACTGATTGTTGGTTGTTTTAGGCCTTTTATTGAGTTAGTTGGGTCTCATTACAACATACTTTATCATAGAAATAGTGTAATATTAAGTCTGTATCAAAATCAGGAAAAATTAGTATAAGGAATTGTAAAAAGGTACAACAGACTCTTTCTTAACCAGATTCCATTTAATAATTGTACATTTCTTGACCTGATTATAAGTAATTGAAGATAAATATCTCTGTGGTGGCTAAAAAAGTGGTAGTTTAGTAAAAATACTTGTAATTAAGTAATGTATTGTGTCATATGGATGTAAAATCTCTGTACACCTGATTGTAAGTGTAAATCCACTAATTGTAAGGTTATTAGTTCTTAAATTAGTTTGTTTTAATGCAACATAGTCTAATGCTACTTATAAATGTGTATCAAAATCAAAAAAAACTGGTGGCCTAAATAATGATTGATTTTAGTGTAAGTAATTATGAGAAGGCACAGTGGACTCCATTTAATAATTGTACATCCCTTGAGCTGATTATAAGTAGTTGAGCTAAATACTCATGTGGTAGTTTATTGTTATTGTATATGGCTAAAAAAGGTGGTAGTTTATTACTGAAAATATTTGTAATTAAGTAATTTATTGTGTCAGGTGGATATAGAATCTCTGTACTCTTGATTGTAAGTGTAAATCCACTAATTGTAAGGTTATATCAACCTTTCTCTTAAATTAGTTTGTTTTAATGCAACATAGTCTAATGCTACTTATAAATGTGTATCAAAATCAGGGAAAACTAGTGACCTAAATAATGATTGATTTTAGTGTAAGGAATAATGAGAAGGCACAGTGGACCCCATTTAGTAATTGTACTTCTCTTTAGCTGATTATAAGTAGTTGAGGGGTAAATACCCTGTGGTGGCTAAAAAAGGTGGTAGTTTAATACTAAAAATACTTGTAATTAATTAATTTATAGTAATAGGTGGATGTATAACCTTTGTACACCTGTTTTAAGTGTGAATCTATTGATTGTACATTACTTTAACTCCTTACCTTAAGGTAGTTTGTTTTAATGTAACATGGTTTATCATAGTGTAATGCTACTTTTAAATCTGTATCAAAATCAGGAAAGACTAGTGACCTAAATAATGATTGATTTTAGTGTAAGCAATGATGAAAAGGTATAACAGACTTCATGTAATAATTTTACATTTCTTGAGCTGATTATAAGTAGTTGAGGGGTAAATACTCCTGTGGTGGCTAAAAAGGTGGTAGTTTAATACTAAAAATACTTGTAATTAATTAATTTATTGTGTCAGGTGTATGTATAACCTTAGTACTCCATTTTTAAGTGTGAATCTATTGATTGTTCATTACTTTAACTCTTTTATTAGGGTAGTTTGTTTTATTATAACATATTTTGCCATATGTTTAATGTAAATTCCCTTTTAATTTCATTTAAGATTAGAAAAATTCTGAACTGCCTTCAGATTACAAAAGTTTATAGGTACATAATTGTAATTTGTATACTATAATTATATAATAGTTATGTATACTATAATTGTATTGTATTGTATTTGTATACTGTGTGCATACATTAAGGATGGAATGCATGAGGGAAAATTATGAAATGGGGTAATAGCAGAAAAATTAGGTATTGAAATGGTTCTGAAGAAAAAGTTATAAAAAAACTGGTTAGGAAAAAGTATATGATAACTGATTGATAATTTTAATAGAGCAAAATGAGAACAAGATAAAGACAGAACCAAGGTGGTCTCAGTGAAACTTATAAGAGTGGTTGTGATGTCAGGTTATAACAAGACAAACTCTGTTTAGGCATGCAGCATCATTGATATTCAGGCATTTATTCCTTAGGGATAGGCGGGTAGAAACCTTAAATAAATGTTAAAAAGCTCCGTCAAACATTAAGACGATTCGACGTGATTACGAAATGAAAATAATAATAATAATAATAATAATTTGTTTAAGTCACGAGTGTAGATTCGTGTGGTTGCAGATGTTTTGAAAAGAATCCAAGAATTTAACTTTTAATAGCATTTCATTTAATTTTATAAAGGAAAAAGGAAAAACTGAAAGGGTTGTTACAAGAAGGAAAGAAAAGGAAATAGAAGAAAAAATAAACGAATTTCTTTTCTTTTTTTTTTTTTAATTTTTATAACAATTAAGGAAGTTAAAATTTAACCGCGGCATCGCCCATGACGAACGCGAACGAACGTGTCGAAGGGGATGATGATTGAGTAAGGGATGAGGAGAAAGGGGGAGGGGTACTAATGAATATCTGTGTAATTTCATAACCATACATTAAAATTTATTTTTCCCTTAGTTTCCCGCCGGATGTGAAAAAAAAAGAAATTTTCGATTGTTTTTTTTTTCTTCCGTTAAATTTTTTAAAACGTTTTCCTACGAACGTACAGGACGAACGGGACGAACGTGGCGAACGGAAATAATTATTTAATTAAATTTTAATTTTTTACAACCGTTCTTTGTTTTTCTTACTATCAAATATTGAATTTTCTTCTTCTTCTTTTATCAAACGTCGTGATGGTGTTGGTGGTGGTGGTGGCGGTGGTGGTAGTGGAGCAGGAGGAGGGGGTAAAACGGAAAACGAAATGAAATCCATATTATATGAATATATAATTCAAAAAGGCCAAAATTGAAAACAATGAAAACCAAAATTTTGATAATTTAAGTTATCATTCATTTTAAAAGGGAGATTTAATTAAGAATAGATACACGCACTCACACGCACGTACGCACGTACACACATCGGAAAATGGATTTGAATGAAAAAGGGTTAAGGGAATAAAAAGAAAAGGATTTAAATAAGTGTGTGAATGTGTGTGAGAGTGAGAGAGAAAGAAAAAGGAAAAGGCCGGTCGACACTTTGGGTAAAAGGTTTTTTAATAAAACGATATAAACCATTTAAGGTGATTTTCCATTTTCTTCAAGTTCCATTTTCTATTTAATTCCACGTTAAGACTTTTATTTCCTTTGGGGATTTTCATTTTTCAAGCCAATTAAATCATTTTCAAATCTTTTTGTTTTTTTTTTTTTTTTTATCAAATAAAACTTGTTTAAATACGTAATAATGATAATAATAATAAAGTTAATAAAATTTATAACACATTTGATTTATTTAAGTGAAAAAAAAGAAAGAGAGAGTGAGAGAGAGAAAATAAACCGGAAATTGCGTTTAAAAAAAAAAAACTTTTTTAATATTCATTAAAACGTTTAATGAAAAAAAAAAAAAAAAATCAAAACTTAAAAACTTTTGGCTCGAGGGTTTTTTTTTTTTTTTTTAAGCAGAAGACGAAAATTTAAAAAAAAATGATGATGATGATGATGATAATAACAATAACGATTATTTGAAAAGAAACAAAAGTTAAACACAAAAAAAAAAAAATTATAGTCGATTTGAAATTAACGAGACTGGAGAAAAACGACTAGAGTTAAATAAAAAAATGTAGTAAGGAGTAGGAAAGGGGGAGGGGGAGGGAGAAGGAGGTTTTTTTTCTTCCCCATTTTCCCAAAGGACTCATTTCCTTTTACGGTTTGTTTAATTTCAACTTCTTCGAGCGAGGCAACCGAAAAAAAAAATCTCGGTGTTACCTTACCAAAGATTTTTATTTTTAAAAATTTTCCAGCAGGAATTTTTCGTCCAGTGACGTGATAAGATTTACAATCGTGACGTCACGAAAATGAATTTATTAATAATTATCATTATTATTATCGTGGATAATTCGAAAAAAAAATTTAATAAAAACGCGGTCGTTAGAAAAAATTTTTAACGTTTAAATTTTTGATTTTTTAAAACAATTTCGTTCCCCGAAAAAGGTAAAAAAAAAAAAAGTAAAAAAGTTTCGGAAAAGAGGGAGAGGGGGGAGAGAGAAAGAGAAAAAGGTTAAAAAAAATCTCTCTCTTGAGACTTGTAAGAAATAAAAAAAAAAAAAAAAAAAAAAAAAAAAAAAAAACTTTAATGGCATTCGAATGAATATTCATGACCCTATAAAAAGCGGTTAGAAAAAAAAAGAAGGGAAAATGGGAAAAAAATCGCCTTTTATTTGTTAATGTAACCGTTGACTAAACCCTAATAATAATAATAATAATAATAACATTTTGAATAATTTTTGCTAAGAATTTTAATTGCAAAAAAAAAAAAGGAAAAAAACTTCATCTTTAACCGTTCACCATCCAGCATCCAGCATCCAGCATCTTCCTCATCCTCCTTTAAAATATCGACTCAACGTTTTGAATTTTTAAATAGCAATAAAATCGAATCCAATTTTTTCTTTTTTTTCAAATCTCCTTCTCCTTCCTCCTTCTTCCTTCCTTCTTTTTTCTTTACCGCCACCATTTTGATTTTTTTTTTTTTACAAAAGAGTGGGAAGTTAATTAAAAAAAAAAAAAGAAAAATGTCTTCTGCTTTAATTAATATTTATTTATTTATTGTTATTATAAAAAAACATTTTACAAATTGATGAAAAATATTACAAATAATAATAATAATTAATACTAAAGTTTATTTTCTCTCGCGATTCACTCAGAAAAAAAAAAAGGAAAATTTTCATTTTTCAAGTGGGGCATAATTGAGAAGCTTCTCGATTAAATCCACGTGACCAAGAAGCATTCTTCTGCAGCAATACCTCTTCAATCCAAGCGCGTCCAATGCATCTCTGCAATGTAAAAATTAAATAAAAATAAAAACGTCATTATTTCCATGTTATGAGAGAGAGAGAGAGAGAGAAAGAGAGTCAGTGACGAAAAAAAAAATCGGTCGGAGATCACGGCGGACAATTTAAGAAAAAAAAAAAAATTTGTTTGTTTGTTTGCTAGCAGCACAATAAATTATTTCTTTCGCACGACGTTTGACGCGCGTATAAAAACCCGGGAGTCGTTTGAGTGCTTTCGAATCTTCTCATGGCTTCCCGGATTTCTCCGGGCGATATCGGACTCCTGTGTTCCATTTGTTTGTTGACCGGAGTTCGTCCGACCGTGAGCAAACTGGGTCCCCAATCTCGGTCCCACGCGGAATCCTTCGACTGCGAATCTTTCCTCACTAAAAATGCCAGATCCACGATTTCTCCGACTATTTCGTACGCGAAATAAGCCATGACGTCGCACGTTTCGTTCGTCACGCTCGGATTGTGATCGATTTTTCCGAGCCATTCTCGAAATTTCGAATTGTACGACGTGAAAAATTTACCGTGTCCGAATGACACTTGTCGAGCTTTGGCAAATTCCATGTATTTGTTTTTGTCCAAATTTCTCGCCATCAAATCCGCACGGATTTTCCTTTGAAGGTACGCGTCGTCCGGTTCTTCTTCGAGCGGATCAAACATCGGATCTATCAATTGTAAAAAATCCAAACATTTTTTCAACCTTTCCGACGCCGCGTTTTTCGGCCACATTTCTTCTCCCATGCATCCCATCTTGAACGTCATACCCATTTTTTTCTTTTGCAAATACTTGACGAACCTTTTCAATTTGATCGGTTTCTTACGGAGCAAAAATAAAAAATGTTCGAGAGTCGGTTTGTTCGACTCTTGCATTTGTGCCACGTTGAGAACGTTTCTCCACAGGCACGTCATTTGCTGCACGAGAATGCTTTCGATGAGTTGCGCGGATGACACGAGAGGTTCGGACACGTCTCCGAACCCGTGCATCATTAATTGTATTTCTTTGACGTAAGAAATTCCGTCTTGCGAGGATGAAAAACCCGCGTGAGCCATGGTCTCCGATGCTTACCCTTCTGTATATTCTGCTTGCAACAATCCTAAGTAGGCTTCCCACTTGTTTCCGATGACTTTCCCGCACGTGAAACACCTGATGGGTATTATCATTCTGTCGTATTATCAATACCTGAAAAAAAAAAAAATTTAATGATGAATTTTTTTCTCTCTCTCTCTCTCTCTCTTTTGAAATCATGACCGTTTTTCATTTTAAAAATAAATTACCCGGGGGCGGATCAGACATTAAAATGATAATAATAATAATTTTTGAAGACTGAAATAAACAAATCGAAATTAGTAAAGAAAAAAAATAAAAAATAAAAAGGAAATGCTGTTGTAAAACGTTTAAAAAACAATAAAAAGGAAAAGGGGAGGAGGGGGGCAAAAAGGGATCCGCCTGTACCGCCTTATTTTTTTTTTGTTTTCAATCATTTAAAAACAAACGTAAAATAAACACGTAAAATAATATGAAAACAAACTTTTTCAAAGGGCCGCCGGTAAAAAAATATCCAGATTTTGTGTTGTTAAAATTTTGATATTCACGTCTACTACCGCCACGTTCGTTCGTTCTTTGTTTAGCTAATGATTCATAAATATTTTCGAGACTCAAAAGTGGTTTTCTCATATGATTAACTTCTTCTTCTCCTTCTCCTTTTTGGATGATACCGTAGGCTTGCGATTTAGGGCTTTTGAACGTGTCGCAGTGAGAAATTTCCGGAATCATTTCGACATCTTGGAACGTTTCCGCCGGTTTTTCTATTATTTCAACGTCCACGTCAAAACAAGCAACGAATTCATTTTTCGAATTCATTTCTTCCGCTTTGTTTCCCTCGGACTTTTTCCCGAAATGAAAATTGTTCGGTAGAGTTTGATTTAGTTTAACGTGTTCGATTTTTTTTTTCTTTTTGACTCGAGTATTATCAGGGGTAGAGATTTGAACGGTTTCCGCGGATGAATCGATTATCAATTCCGTCGCCACGTCAATACCCACCCACTGTTCGCTAATGACGTTCGCGATGAGCTTATGAGGCAAATCGGGATACGTGAGACGAATCACGACTTCGATGTCTTTTTGAAGAAGAACGAAATCCGTAAATCTATTATAGCTGAGGAGGTTGTTGTTAGTGTCGCCTACTATGAGTATAACCCAATGGTGTTCTCCCGCCGTGTTCTTTTTCCTGATGTCGTCGGCATTTAAAAGCGTCACTCTTACGTTTGCTCTATGTACATTATTCGGTCCTGATTGCATAAGATTCGCGGTTAGTCCATACTTAGGAAGATGTTCTACGGCTTCTTGCAAGTGGTTACCAAATGGCGGAGCTCGATTTATTATTCCTTCTAAATCTCTAGGATTTGAATTTTTTATCACCGTAAAACTCGTCTTACCGCACGCCGCTAACAGCGTGCCTAAAGTCGGACCGATTCTGTCTAATTGTCGTGAAAGATAAGGCGAATCTTCCCACAGTTTCGAATGAAGGCATTTCGCAAGGATAGTAGTGTTCAAGATGGATTTGTGATGAGGTTTTTTCGATAGAAATTCGGACAAGCATTTGGCCAGACGTTCTGCTATTTTCACAATACGAACGGATTCCTGATACAAAGCCGGATCCTGAATGTGCAAACATCCCAAACATGCCTGTATCAAGCAGTTGACTTTCATTCCTCTCGTCTTTATCTTTCCCGTCATAGGAAACCGAATGTGATCCCGATTTTTATTCCTGTTTAATTCGTTTAATGTTTTTCTTTCGTTCACACGCAATTGAACTTCGCAAAATTCGTGAGCTTCGCACAGCGACGAAAGTATTTCGTCCATCGTTTCCGTTCCTTTTATTTGAAGGAAAATTTTAAAAGTTTCGAAAGACAAGTAGAAATGAGACATTAGCCTGCCGTGAGCTGTCGGAGATATATCCATTCCGTTATCGCTGACTTCAATTAATTCCGCTTTTTTCAAACCGTTAATTTCTTTTAAACACATAAGTTCTAAACCTTTTTCAATTTTAAAACGATTTCCGCTGGGATCGAGTCCGTAATATTTTGGATTTTTCATGGCTCGAACGTATAGGAACGTGTTGCAAATCCATTCCATGGCGACGCTCAAATCTGTGATCGTGTACAAAACGATTTCCGAATTTAGATATTCTGGTAAATGAAGATGCAAACTGCTTTCAATAACTTCTTTGCTCTCGAGCATTTTTTCATATTTTCCGACCGTATCATTTTTTGTCATTATTATGGCTATTGCGGTTGTGTCGAACTGAGGTCGACCGGCTCTTCCGATCATTTGAAGAATAGAACTTTCCGGATACTCTTCTAATCGACCTGCTTTGTATTGCTTTGTAGATTTTATTACTACTAAATGAGCTGGTAGATTGACGCCCATTGCCAATGTGCTTGTAGCGACTAAAATCGGTAAACTTCCTGACGCAAACAAATTTTGAACGTGATGTCTATCCTCACTGGTCACGCCCGCGTGATGGTATCCAATACCGCACAAAATTAATTCTCTTAATTTATTGTCGGTTATAAAAGCGGCTCCATCGCTTAGATTTTCCAATTGAGTTTGAGTAAAATGAAAAGTTAATTGTTCTGATAGAATTTTTGCAGTTTGAAGCACGCTTTTCCGAGTGCTGCAAAACACTAAACTGGGTTTCCCATTGGAATAATCAAGGATGACGGTTTTAAGCTTGTAGGAAAGTTGTATGTCGAATAAAAAGTCACTTTGTTTGGGAGGTTGATAATAGCCTTTGACTATTTTTTGCAATTGAACAGGTCTGACATCATTTCCAAATTTAAAAAAATCAGCTGGAGAATCTTTCGATCCCAACCACAAAGCTAAATCTTCAACATTATAAATTGTGGCAGAAATTGCGACAAACCTCACAGGTTCCAATTTTAATACTTTTGATACTGTTTTCATTCTGCACACAATCGCTTCTAGAACTGGTCCTCTTTTAAAATCTCCCAACAAATGAACTTCATCTATTAGAAATAATTTTACCAACTGCACCAATCCTGCATTGTCTCTCCACTTTCTAGTTAGCGAATCCCATTTTTCAGGAGTTGTTATTATTAAATTATAACCGACAAGATCAAAATAATCACCTCCATCACCTGTAACTTCAATGCAAGAAATTCCCAAACAACGAAATTTAGGTTCCCAATCATTAAATCTTTCATTGCACAAAGCTTTAACGGGGCACACATAAACAACTTTAAAATCATTATTGAAATTAGTTTTTTCGAAATTCATCAAAAGCTTTACAATTGCTAATTCTAAAATGACTGTTTTTCCTGAACCTGTTGGAGCTGTTATAACTAAAGAATTTTTCTTGTTAAAAATATGAGAAAGCGTTTGAGTCTGAATGGAATTAAATGAAGAGTATGATTGAAAAATTTGTCTGTATTTAAGTGGTAGATCTTCTAGGGTGCTATAATTGAGTGGCTGAAACTCCATGAGTGTAGCCTAATGAATGAAAATAATTAATAAAAATAACTGAATTTTATGCTACTTTAAATTATAATAATACTTAATTAAAAATATTACAATAATAACATAATTCTCATAACATAATTGAATGACAGACGCAGTCGAGTAACCAAAAACGGTTACTCCATTTTTCTTTTTTTTAAGTAGAATACATAATATTATTACAATTAGTTCGTTATTATTAGTTCGAATTAAAGTATTAAATAATATATACGAAAATATTACAACATAAAAGTAGAAAAACGTGAATTAAATAATTCATAACCTCATCACGACCCGGATTATTAACATGAGCTTTTTTTTTTGTTAAAGTTTTAACGTTAAATTAATTTATATTTGTGTTTTAATAACGTCAACTTACATAAATTTTTTTCTCTAAAAACTTTTATTTAAATAGTTTCTTGCAATTTAAATAATTAATAATAATTATATCGCTAAACAATAAACTCAATGTCAAGTTGAAATTGAAAAACTTAAGTAAAACAAGTAGTGGTAAATTCAAAGCATTGCATAATTAATCAGGTTTGCCAACTTGTAAATAAAAAATTTTTTTAACGAACGTTACACGTTGTGACGTCATTCAAACATTAATATTTAAACTCAATTTTAAACGATTGTATTTGAATTCAAAAAATAATTACGAAATTATTATTTATTTACTTGTTAAGGAAATAGTGGGGGGGAGGGGGGAAAAATTAAATAATATACCATTGTATCCATGTATTTATTATTATTTATAATAATTACTGACACCACAAAATTAAAAAAAAAAAAAAACAAAATTAAATTAAATTGATAATTGTAAATGCAATCAGATTCATTTAGCACATATACAGGTTTACAATATTCAAAAGCCATTTTCTATTTTCTTTTTTTTCTTCTATTTAAATAAATACTATTTAAAATATTACAAGCAACAACCACAATAATAATAATAATAATAATAATAATAAAATAATTAATAAATAAATTCTCATTTAAATTCTATTTTTGAAAAAATAATTTTTAATAATTAACATAATAAAAATTAAAATTGAATGCTTTTATATCAATATAAAGTCTTAAAAATCATTTATTTAGAATGATTCGTTCGCTGATTGTTTTGTATTAATTAATAATAATAATAATAATAATTCGTAAACTTTTTAATTTTAAATATAAAATCAAAAAATTTTTTTTAACAATATACACACGAAAAACCGATAATTCTTTTTTAATTTTAACAATTAATTCAATATTAAAGCATAAAAATGATTGATAAAGTAATTATTATACGTTTATTTATTTTTTTTGATTTAAAAAAATCAAATAATGATAATAATAATGCACTACGTAAATCATTATTTTCGCGAGCGCGAACGTTTCGATGTATACTTATGTATATATATATATATATATAAATATATATAAATTCAAAATAAAATTTTAAAAAAAACCTAATAAAGCAATAAAAAATCAATTATAAACTGGGTCATTGTATAATATAATAGGATTGGTCGATAATTTTTTTTTTTTTTTTTTTGCCCCCGAGCCCCTTCGAAAAATATTTTACCCCCTTTTTTTTTTTTTTTTTTTTTTTTTTTTCATTTTACCATTAATAATAATTACGTTAATAATTTTATAATAATAATAATAATAATATTTATATAATTTACTCAACAATTATTTATATATATGTGTATATATATATATATATTTTTATCTATGTACACAGTCTTGAAAAAAATTCTAAAAAAATTTTTAGATTATTTTTCCTATAAATAATAAATAATAAATATATAATTATTATTAATAATCGATGAGGAATGTTTTTTTTTCAATAATGGCGTGAAAAATCAGTACTGAGAAAAATTATTTAAAAAAAAAAAAAAAAAAAAAAAAAAGTTTACAGGTATACGAAGGTTTAACCGACGAGAGGGTTTATTTATAATCGAGTGTTATATAAGTTTATCGTCCAATTCGTAAGTTGTTTTATCTCTGCTTTTGAGAACGCTAAACAAAACTTCAGAGTTTTCATCGCTGTCGCTTTCGCTGAAAACGAGGCTGTTTGAAAATGATGATTCTTCTGCTAGAAGGGGCATTCGTAATTCTTGACCCTCTCCCGCGATAAATGATATTTCGTTGTCGCTTTCGGATGAATCTGAAATTTCAATATATTTTATTTTTAGTATTGTTATTGTTATTATGATTGTTTGTTGACGGGTTATTACACCTCACCGTTTATGCTGTTGGATGTTGCTATGGCTTTAAGTGCCGCGTGTAATGATATACCGCCCAAGCAAAATAATAATCCGATTATGTTTATGTGGCTGATTTGATCCCCGTTCCACTCTACGGCTAATATCAAGGTACACAATTCCTGGGAAAAAAAATTGTTTTAGGAAAAGTTACTCTCGATTATCGCTTTGATTCACACTTAAAACGTTATGCGTTTAAGTAAAAAACTTTTTGTAGTTATTATTTGCGCACCTTAAATATACCAGCTATGGATAGCGTTAGACTAGAAGTGCAAGACACGAGTAAATATTCAGAGAGTTCCATACAAAACGCAACGAAAGCACCAATCACAACCGCCCATATTGAATAAGTTAATTCATTCAAACGAGTAAAATTAAAAAATTTTGAACTACTTGCAACTGCCAAACCTAAAAAAAAAAAAAAAAGAAAAATATAATTAACAGTTATGTTATTTTGGAACAAGCGTTGTGCGATTGAATATGAATATTCTTTGGAAAAAGCATCAAGCATTAAGTGGATATTAATTTATTAAATTCCAATCGAATATTGTTTGATAATTTTTTAAATTAAGTTATATGGAAATTTGTGATGAAAAAAAAAAAGAAGAAATGATTACCCTCGAAGCACAGGGCAAAAGGTAACACCATGACTAACATCCATGGTTGAACGTGATACATCATGTCGAGAGGATTCGACAATCCTAATTTGGATTTTTGCATAAGTAATTGTGCCAAGGTCCATCGAAGTCCACTACAAGGACAAATAAATGGTTTAATTAATAAATATGAAATTTGTATTTAGCGATGACTAGAAAATAAACTGCGACTACCTGGAAAATGTTGCTAGAAGAACTAAAATAAATCCTACTAAATTAAACTGGGTTGACTTGTAGGTGAACATTAAAAGGCCACCAGATATCATTAAGACAATTATTATTATTTTCCAAGACTAATTAAATAACAAAAGATGAAAATTACATTTTTTATTATTATTTCTACATATGTGGAAGAAAGTTAAGAAGAAAAAGAAAAAAAAAAAAAAAAGGAAAAACTTACTTTTTTTTCCAATTTAAATATTAATGAAAAAATTAATATGAATATGATGGCAGATGATTTAGTCATTGTATATCTAAAAACAAAAAAAAAATTTTAATTTTATTGTGATGTTTTAAAAAATTAAAATTTAATTTAAAGGAAAAACAAAAAAAAACTTACAAGGAAACAGTTATTAATTCTAAACCCCAGTTAGAAAAAGCAACATCGAAACCGCTTGCAAGACCAACTGGAGCTGCTTTTGTTATGTAATTGTACCAAGATAGCGTCACTCTTGGTTTTTTTGTAAAGCATTCATATGTGACTCTAAAAACTAATGCTGTTAAAAATTTCAAAAACAAATGTCCTGTCGTAACGAAAAGTGGAAATTTTAATCTCTGTAAAAGCCATCTTTGGTAAAAAGTCAATCCGATGGATAGTGAAAAATACAGAAGTATAAGTGATGCAGTAGTGAGTACATATTTACAGCAAGTCCCAGTGCAAAGGGGTTTATTTCGGCCCGTGTCATCTTTTTCTTGTAAAGCATTCAACCTCCCCATTTCACTGATATTTACCTATGCATGGTCTGAAAAAATAAAATAAATAAGGTATTTTATTTACAAAATATCTTATTTAAAAAATGCATAACGTGGTGTTGGCAACGCATAATTTAATATTAAAAAAAAAGTAAAGTTTACAACTGTTAAAACTGCTTGTAATACTCTCCGGCAAATTTTACCTCAAAAAATTCCAATTTATTTACGTTTTAAACTCTTCAATTAAAATTAATATCATTTTTTATGATTTGCTTATTTGCAAACTTGAATAAATGCAAAAGAACATTGTGTTCTTTGCGCAATCAACGAAATATTTATTCAATATTTACTTTTCAAGTTATTACCATTCTAAGCATATGTGACAGAACAAGAAATTGATATTCCACCGAAGGCTTTATCAACACAGTGATGTAATGATAACTGAACGTGCCAAACGGAAATGAAATTTTTGTCGCCAACTTGTTAAAAGTTGGCATTATTTCCCGTATTTCAATCCGTCATTTTGAATCTACGTCATTAACGTCAGTTGAAAAAACGCTCAACGGTTTTTTTGTATTCATGATGGATTTTTTAATAATGTGATAAATAGTTTAGTTTAAACGTTTTAAAGTTCATTAATATATTAAAAATGAATTTATCCATCGTTTCTACATACGATAATGTATCGTATAATAGTAATAATACTTCAAAATCTAGTGTTTACAGAGCATTAAGTGATTTGCTTGACGTAAACGATGAAGCCGAGGTTACCATGTTTTGTCCGCTTTGTGTAAACGCTTTTCGATATAAATTTACTTTATTCGAGCATTTGAAAACGAATCACTTGAATTTTTTTTTAAGCGTTAAAAACAAGATTATTACTTATGACGAATGCCCATTTTGTAAAGCCAAGTTTTACGAAGAATATCTTGTTGCCAAACATTGTTTACTGGAACATTTAAACGATATGACCGAATTGTTTGTTGATAAAAATTTTAAATGTAATTATTGTGATAAAAATCAAAGTATTGTAGATTTTAATGAGGTTGTGAGACACGTAGAAGAATCACATTATGCTGAATTCGAGCTTAAATTTAAACGAAAATATTTATCAAGTGTTACCACGATGCATTTTTCATCACTTTTAAATTCAAACTCAGGCAGTTTTAAATCATTTCGTCTTTCTGATTACTTGGATATGGATTTTATTGATAAAAACAACATGAATGAAAACAATCAATTACCACAATTTCCAATGATTCCTCGACAAGTTATCAATAATGATTGTTTTGATTTCACTGATTTATGCAAACACCTTCCGGATGTTAAACATACAGAAGATTTTTGTTGCAAAAACAAAAAATTCAAAAGGAAATCTCTATTGAAAAACATAACCAATCATTCGATAAATTCAGGTGTGAGGAGAGGCCTTTGTTTCGATTGTCCAAATTACAGTTGTGATAATAAAGAAAATACAGTATTAAAACAAAATATGGGAGCTGCGAAAGAAGTGAGCATCGAAGAACACAGTTTATTATGCGAAGATGATAAATTTAACATATCGGATGTTTTGAATAACATATCGGGGGATTGGTTCAACAAACCATTGTTATCCAGCACTCCTAACATGAAATTTTCTAAAGTGAAATCACCTAGAGATAATAACATGGCTTCTGAAAATCAATTCAACTTTAAATCTTATGTTTGTAATTATAAAAATTATGAATTCAAATGCGGAAAATGTAAGAAAATGTTCAGCGAGAACATGGATTTGGTTTATCATGTTAAAAATACTCATAAAAGAATAGATTTAAAAGTATTCAAACCTTGTTACAAATGTGGAATATGCAATGCTAAATTTTACAGAAATAATTATTTAAAAAAACATCACAGACTTCACAATCCGTATTAATTATAAAATGTCGATAACACTCAAATTTTTTCCACAATGACATTTTTTTTTAATAAAAACAATAATAATGATAACCAATTTATATATTTTAACCATTCGTTATTGGGAAAAGTAAAAATTGGAAGAAAAAAAAAAATAAAAATTTTATTTAAATCAATTATCAATTTTTTTACTAAAAATATCACAATATTATATAAATATGAATTTTAATGGAATTTTTTTTGAAAAATTTAATTATTATCGATAATTTATTATTGCATTTTTATAAAAAAAAAAAAAAAAAATGAACTATTTTTATTGGATAGGTTTAATTTTATTTTTTACTATATTAAACTCTTTTTTTTATTTTTTACAATTGAAATATTATTATTATTAATATTAATATTAATATTAAATTTTTATATGAGCTTTTTATTTTTTACACTTTATTTGCTTATTGCATATCATAGGGAGTGGGATTTTTCATAACATTGCTCATTGTCTCTCATTTAAAAAAAATTTGTATAATTAATCGAAACATTCCAGTATTATTAATAATAATAATAATTTATTTATTTATTTAATTTTTTTCTTATCGTCAGTTATTAAATTCTGATGTTAATGATAATGAATAAAAAGAGTATTATTTAATTAACAAACGATCATGAAATATTTTTAACAATTTTTTATTATTATTATTTCTATTAATAATAATAAACGTTTTACTAATCATTTAAACTTTTTATTTATGTATGTATTTATTATTATTTATTAACATCGTTATTATTATTATTATTATTGATTTTTTTTTTTTTAAATGTGATTTGTCAGGGTAATGAATAAATAAATGAATGTTTTGAAACACAGTTAAAAAAAAAAAGGCGTTTTTTTTTTTTTTTATTTTAGTAAAAAGAAAAATTTATTAAATAAATTATTCATTAATTTTCACGTACATAAATTTATTATTATTAATTTTATTAATCGTTGCCATTTTTTTTTTTTTTTGTATTTTAAATTGTATTATCGAAATTTAATTTAAAACGTTTTTTTTTGTTCATTTTTTTTTTAACACACCTGAGATTTTTTTATTTTGGTGGGGTGAGGGGCGGGGAGGATGGGTAGGGTGGGTGGGAGGAGGGGTAGACATAACGATAAGCACAGCCAAATTTATTGGAAAATAAAAATTAAAAAATAAAATAAAAAAGTGTGAGTGGATTAATTTTTTTTAGAACTATAATGAAATATTAATCAAAGTCTCGATACGTTACCACCACCGCAACTGCCACCGCCACCGCTGCCACATTGTTTTTCACTCGAACGTCTCTGTTTTAAATTCGATTGTTGACATTTACCGTAATGGTGACAACAAATGATGTCGCCATTATTATGATTTGGAAAAAATCTTTTTACAGAATTATTCGAATCCGAAATTGAATTTATTTCCAAACATTCGCAACTTCTACTCGCGTTCGACATGATGGAATTTTGTTTTTGTTGTAACAGCAAAAGATTTTCCGTTGATTTTGTCGGAAGATCGCAATGTCCGTGTCCGTTATGATATATTTGTATGCTGTGTACTCTTCCTCCGGTTTTGCTTTTGAAATTTATCTAATATCGAAAATATTTGTTTTATAAGTTGTCGACATTGACATTGACATTTAAAATGAATCGTACCTGATTTAAATTAATCATTCCCGTATTTTTACCGGATTGAATTTTCAATTTTGCCGGCATGGTGTTACTCGAGGTATTATACGAAGATGTCGAATGATTTTTATTTGTCGAACTCGTGTCAACGTATCCGTACCCGAATCCATATCCGCCGAATGCTTTTGTCGTCAAATTGTCCCACGATTTTGGTTTGACAGGTTGAAAATTTTGATAACTGAAATTAACATCGATAAAAAATAGTGAAAATGGGTTTTTCTTTTTTTTTTATATACCCCCCAGGCGGGGTATGTATGTTTTTACCTGTCGCAAGTTGGTTGAGTTTTACAATTGGAAACTTTAGAATAGGAATACGAATTGTTTTGCGATTTTTTATCGTTTCCATCCCAATAAAGAGTGTCGGAACTTAATGAAGTCGAATAAGATATTCCACTGCTTTCACCCACTCCGTGACTAGCATCGCTTGACGTGCATGAATGAAGACTGCATTGACTAACCAAACTGCTACCGAAACTGAAAAAAAAATTAATATAAAAAAGGGAAACTTTTGTCGCAGACGACACAAACAATGTCGCAAAGATTGAAAGAAATGTTGGCACGTTTTTGAGGAAATGGTTTGAATGAGTGACTAATTGAAGACACTCACCTAAAATATTTATGAGAACGATTCGAATTCGATTTCGTGATTCCCTCGCCATTTTCCCCGCTTTTTTCTCTAAACGAACCGCATTTGACGTTTTCTTTACTCGAATCACGTTCGTGACTTCTGTTATTGTGATGCCCGCGTTTGTTATGTTGTTTTTGTTTAGATTTTCTCCTAGCAGAAGGTACGCAGTGAGGATCGCAACAAGGACTCGCTAAATCGTAAGCTTCAAGGCTCGTATTATCTTGATTGTTGACCGCTTGCAAGCATGGATTGCACAAATGCCTCGTGTGATGTTGATAATGTTTCGTTTTGTTAGCGTTTCTACCACCACTCGATGTTTTAATCATGTTTGCCGATATCGCGCCGTTCGTTTGATGATAACCGTCGACGGGACAACGTTTTTGTTTGAAATCGCAATTCGTTTTAACCAATATCGGCCTCGATTCCGGTGAATCTCGGGTCCAACCGACGAAAATCTCGTTCGAATTGTCCGATCTAATGACGCACTGATACCTCGGGTCCAAGCATTGATAAGCTAACAACAATTGTGATTGTCTCGGTACCTGAGCAACGTTTTCCGTCGATACTGTCGGCCTGCAATGAAAACCGTCTTCCTGCGACGAATCTATCAAATCGTCCGATGAATTATTCGAATTTCCCTTTTTCCTCGCGGGTAAACTGTGAGATTTCCACTTTCCTTGCAACACTTCCCTTTCCTTCAAGCACAACCTATCCAGTTCGGCCGTTTTGCTTTGTAGTATTCTTTGCAATTGTATGTACCTTATGTGCAATTCGACTTTTCTCACGCAATCTTCGAACAGTACGACCATTCTCATTCTCGTGTCGCAATTTTTAATAAAATTAACCAAAGCTTTGTGATCTGCTTTTTCCATGTCGTGACCGTTTATCGATAGTATAACATCTCCTTCTCTCATTCCGGCTTTGTAAGCTGGCCCGTCATATTCAACGTAATCGACATATGTTATCATTTCGATTTCTTGTTCTTTTTTATAATGGATGCCGTAACTCTGTAAAAATAATAATGATAATAAAACCCATTGGAAACATCTTCATTTTATTTTCTATTATTTCATTAACGTTTTTTTTGGCTTCTTTTAACAACTTAAATTAATTAGCGACCAAATAAAAACAAACAAACAAACAAACAACGTATATACGTCGATCGGATGCGGATATGAAATTTCTCCTTTTAAAGTTGATGATAATAATAATAAAAGGAAAAGAAAAAAAAAAAAAAACGTGAAACGTAAATTATCATCGTACCTGTAGGGTAAATCCATAAGTTCCATTTTTTTTTTCGACGATGATTGTTCTACGTCTTCTGTCTTCATCTTGTTTCGTAGTTGCCACCCTATCACTTTTGACCCTTTCTAATATTTGAGCCTAAAAAACAAACAACCCTTATTATTTTGGTTGTAGGAAATTAAAATAATACGAAAAAGGGGGATGTGTCGTCGTCATCGTCATCATCGACGACGTATGAGTCACAATTAAAAAAAAAATTTTTTTTTCTTTCTTTCCTCTTTTCCGTTTGTCCTTTTATGCTCGAGGACACGTTCGGGGGGTGGGGAGGGGGGAGGAGAAAGGGTGCCAAAAATGGAAACTTTTCATTTTGCCGTTTTGAATATTGATATTAAATCCCGGTTCGCCGCGTGTGTGTGTGTCACCGCCATAATTATTAATTATTAATTTTTTTGAGTCAATCACCTGTGAAAAATTGTTGTTGTTGTTTTGTTTTTTATGGTCCCTTTTGTTTAAACAAATAAAAAAAAATCAATAAATAATAATTTAAAGCGTGAAAGGAAGTTACGAATAATTTTTAAAATAACGATACGTTTAATGTTTATTTCCTCGCTATAATTTTATTATTAAAAAAAAAAATTGTGCGTTTGTTTGTTTGTTTGTTTATTATTTATAAAAAAATTAATTAAAATAATTAGTACGATATTAATTTAATTAAAATTTAATAATTAATTAAAAATTTTATTTTTAAAAAAATAAATAAAATCCAATTTTTTTTTTATAAATAAATAAAAAAATTTTCAAGGTTTTTATTTTAAAAAATTTTGCCAATTTGTTTTGGCTTTTAATAAATTTTTATTTTTTTTTTTTTATTTTGTGTACAAACAAACAAACGAAGGATCTCGCAACGTTACGTTTTTTTTTTTAAATATATTTTCTCTCTCTTTTAAATTTAATTCATTGAAAAAAAAGTAATGATGATGATAATAAAAAAATCGATTTTTCGATAAATAATTTTAAGGGTGTAAAAAATTTTTTTCTCCTTATATTAACAATCGTTTGTTGTTGTTGTTGTTGTTGTTATGAAAGCGTAAAAGTTTTTTTTTTTTTTTTTAAAACAAACGACGACTGCAAAACGCGATAAAAACGTTAATAATAGTAATAATAATAATAATAATAATAATAATAATAATAATAATAATAATAATAATAATAATAATAATAATAATAATAATAATAATAATAATAATAATAATAATAATAATAATAATAATAATAATAATAATAATAATAATAATAATAATAATAATAATAATAATAATAATAATAATAATAATAATAATAATAATAATAATAATAATAATAATAATAATAATAATAATAATAATAATAATAATAATAATAATAATAATAATAATAATAATAATAATAATAATAATAATAATAATAATAATAATAATAATAATAATAATAATAATAATAATAATAATAATAATAATAATAATAATAATAATAATAATAATAATAATAATAATAATAATAATAATAATAATAATAATAATAATAATAATAATAATAATAATAATAATAATAACGATAATAATAATAATAATAATAATTAGTTATTTACATTGAGGAAATTGTTATCGTAATCAAATTTTGTTGTTGTTTTTGTTATATTTATTATCATTTGAACGCAAATTATCAGCGACAGCAAAAGTTTTTTTTTTTTTTTTTCTTAAAATAATAATAATAATAATTTTCTCCAATAATAACAATAACAGTAATAATAATAATAATAGTAATAATTGGTTCGAGTTAAAAAATTTAAAATTAAAACGAAAATTTCCACGCGATTTATCATAGATGAACGAAACACATAAAAAACAAACATAAAGTAAAAGAAAAAAAAAAACAAAACAAAGCAACAACAACAACAACAAACAAACAAAAACAATCGATTATAATGTTTAAAAAATAATAATCGATTCATTAATTTTCATTCAAATGAAAAAAAAAAAAAAAAAAAAAATCGACAAATTCTATTTAATGATAATAATAATAATAAATTTATTACACCTTAAAATTATTATTATTAATATCACGACCGATTTTTTTTTTTTTTTTTACCAAGGGAATATTTTATTAATTAATTACCGTACGTTAAGTAATAATAATAATAATGATGATGATGATGGTAATGATGTTAACTTAAAATTACATAAGGAATAAATTTACACACTAGTCGGAATAAATAAATAAATAATAATAATAATAATAAATTAAAAAAAAAACATGCATACATACATAATTCGGACGTGAATTATTAATTTGATTTACTATTTATTTATTTATTTATTTTTTTAATTTATTAATATTATTATTAGTGAGAGTAATAATAATAATAATTACGTAATTACGTTCACACAACACAAATAATCGAAACTCAAACGATGGAGAAGGGGGAGGGAAGGGGAAATAAATAAATAATTAAAATAAATTTTCTTTTGAAAAAAAATAAGGAAAATTTTAGGTAGGTTTTTGCTAACAAACGAGAAGCAAACAAACAAACAAACGACGAAAATGACGAAAGAAAAAAAGAAAAGAACGTAAACTGAGATTTACGAGAGCTATTAATTTTTTTTTTTTTTTTTATTATTTGTCGATTCCGAGACATTTTCATCCGTCGGGAAAATTTAAAACAATTTTTACGATTGATTGATTGATTGATTGATCGATATATCGAATGATTTTTTTCATTTGTCGAAATGTTTTTAAATTTTGCGTAGATTTAAAAAACAAAAACGAAAAAAAAAAGAAAGGAAAAACGAAATTTACACGCGATGTGCCATATTTAACAAAAAAAATTATTATTATTATTATTATTATTATTATTATTATTATTATTATTATTATTTATTGCTGAATCGTGTTATTCGAGCGTAAATTAAAATAATATACGTTTATAAATCGATTAAAAAAAAAAAAAAAAAAAAAAACGAAAATTCAGCAAAAAAAAGAAAAGGAGAAATTAATATGTCGGACGACGAATTGGGAAAATTTTTTTTTTTTTTTTTTTTTTTTTTGATTACCGTCGTTGATTCTTCGACATCGATAAATTCTTGACTTCCGGAAGGTGATAAAATTTTTCCTGATCTTTTCCCGCTTTGATGATTTCTCGATGGTTTTTCATTAACTTTTGGCGAATTCATCGTTTCATATATTATCAATTAATTAATTAAAATAACGTTTACTTGTTTCATTTGTAAATAATAATAATAATAAACGATTTACTATAACACATACGCGACAGGTAATTTCAAGTTTTCATCGGTTCGACCCGACGAGGACACTGAACGAACTGCCAGATATCGATATGAGAATGCGCCCGCGTATTGAACGTATTTTAATTCAAAATGGCGGACATTGATTTTTATTCCCTATTTTTTTTTTTTTACGTAACAATTTTTTTTATTTTTTATTTTTTAATGCCGTGTAATCATTTAAAAAAAATCATGTTCTCATTATTTACTTTTTGCTTAATGCTTATTTACTGGAAATAATATTCGTAAAAAGGGGTGGGGGGAAAGAGAGAGAGGAAGGGGAAGAGAGAGGGAAATTAACGGTTTCGAACGTATTTAAATTAATTTTTTAACGCGGGTAAATAAAAAATTTTTTTAAATTTAAATTTATTCTTTGTTTTTAATTTATTTATTTTAACGTCGGATAAATAAGAGTGTGTGTTAATAATAATAACAGAAATTAAAATTTAAAATTTATTTATTTATAATTATTCAATTACATAATAAAATTCAAATTAATTAATTATTTATTTATTTATTTTACATAAAGGATAAAAAGAAATTTAATTTAATTTAATTTTAATTTAATTCGTAATAAAATTTATAATAAAAAATAAGACAAAAAAAAAAAGAAAAAGAAAAATCAATTAGTCTTATAATTTTTTTTTTTTTTTTTTTTTGACTAATTTTTATCATTTTTGTTTTATTTAAAAAAAAAAAAAAAAATTTAAACGATATTATCGATTCGTAACCCTGTAAAATTTTTAAAAATTTAAAATTTGTATTTTTTTTAAACATATATATAAAAATTATGACATTAAATGGCACATAGAATAGCATAATACAAAAACAAAAGAAAATTTAAAATGAGATCAATCGTAAAATAATGTTTTTAATATTGTTTAATTTTGAATAAAATGAAGATTTAAATGAACAAAAAAAAAAGGTTTCCTGTTGCTGTTGCTGTTGTAAATAACCTTAAGTATAATTAAAAATTACAAAAGTGAAAAAAAAAAAAACAAAAAACATAAATTGTTAAAAATTTTTTTTTTTTTTTTTTTACAATAATTTTCATATTGTATGTGATTTATACAGATGATGTCGACGTAACAGCGTCATTTCTTCTGCTTTCCAATCTATATATATATATATATATATATATATATACATATATAAAAATGTAATTATTTTTATAAATTATTTTTATTGCATTTTAAAAATAATTTTAAAATGTTTTTTTTTTCATATGCATGTTTCGATGTGTGATAATGTTAGCCAATAAAAAAAAAAAAATTCAGTCATGATATAATTATTATTAGGCACTTTGACAAAACAATAATTTTATTATTATTATTATTAATTGATTTTTACTATGAAAAAGTGTATTTTATGTTTTTACCAACTTGATAGTTATTACTACTGCTATTATTTTTATCGGAATTGAATGAGTCGTGTGAATCCAATGATTCAACATTGATGCTTGATTCAGATGAATTTTGTATAAGACCAAATCTTTTCTTAAGTGCAGCCTCGAGAAAATCTCCAGGATTATTTATTTTTTTAGGTTTTTTCAATGGTCCTCCACCTGGAGATTTTTCTATTTTTCTCAATTGAACTTTTTTCAAATCTCTGAGTAATTCTTTTCCTGTCGGTAATCCATTTTTCATTGTCGGAATCACAGTTTTTTTCTTATTTTCTAATTTAATCGGAGTAGGTAATAATTCAAATGTTGGTAATGGAGGAGGAGGAGGTGGTGGTGGTGGTGGGAGAGGTGCTGTAGGTGTTGGAGATTTTTGTGATTGTTCTGATGGATTTGTTGATGTTCCATATCCGGAAGACATCATTTGCTCGCATTGGTGTTCCATTAATTTGGCAACTTGTTGTTTAATTTCTTCTAGTTCTCTTTGAAGAGCTGTTATTCTCTTGCTTTCGCAGATGTTACTTTTTAAAGGTGTTGAATTTAATATTTGAGCTTTTTTCTGTTTGTTAAAATGTGATCTGTAATTATTAAATAACTCAAGTTAATACAATAAAATATGTTAACATTATTACAAGGTTTCATGAGAATAATATTTACTTGAAACTGTAAAAACTATCTTCTTCAGGATGAAAATAAGTAATGTGTTTTAATGATAATATACTATTCATAATTGTAGACGTAAGATACATTCTAGGCGGTACAGGTATAAAATAATGCCATAAAAAATTCGGTACGAGTGACGCTAGAATTCTAACAATGCTTCTTCTCTTTTTACGGGCTACTTTCATATCTACAAATTAGAGAGAGAGAGAAAAAAAAAGCTGTTATTTATCACATTACAAACGGTCACATTGAAAAAAAAATTTAAAATCTCGTTGATAAAATAGTTAGAAATTTAAAAATTACCCCATAAATATTGAAAATACTCACTTCTAATTATTTATTGATGATTTTTCAAAGGAATTGATTGAATTTAAAAATAAAAAATGTTGATTTAAATAAAAAATTTCAAAGATGTTTATGTTTGATACACCGCCATGAGCTTTTTTTTTTAGTGCCACTCGAGTAGGGATATTTGTCGCAAAGTTGAAAAAAAAAAAATTTTTAATTAACTTAAGACAATGTGAACCACAAAGGCGGTGTGTGTAATTTTTTTTTTTTTCATCGATAGGTGCATAAAAATTTTGTGGAAAAAAAATTGAAAATTAGTGGTTTATTATTATTATTTTTTTATTTAAAATTTCATTTATCGGTCAATAATTAGTTTTTGAAAATACATTTTGTGGTAAGTGTCTCAATTTTAAACGTATTTATATTTATATCATTAATTTTATAATCGAGACTAAATGTCATATTTCTTACCGATTCTATTTCCCTCGCTTTTATAATGTAATGTACATGAAATATTCTTTATGATCTCTATGATGTAAATCGTGTTGAAATTAATTTTTTGAAAAAAAAAAAAAAAAAAAGAGTAAAAAGGTCATTAATTATACAAACATGATTGTTTTATTTTCTTTTTTGTATTTTCGAAAGAGAGAGAGAGAGAGTATCCCAAACATTATTTATAAAATAATTTCACCTTCAAGTTCTTTTTAAAAATATTCTCTTCTTGTATTTTAACTTTTTGTTTTCATTTTTTTTGAATTATTTATTTGAAAAATTTTATAATTTGCATAAATTTGACACTTGACAGTCTCACATCAAATAAATCTTATTAAAAATATTAATAATTAATGAAATGTAATTAAAAAAAAAAAAAAAAGAGGAAAATTAATTTTTAAAGTAATAACATGAAACATTTTTTTTTCTGTTTTTTGGCATCAACATTTTGGCTATATATACAAAAATTTTTATGTCACTGAATTATTATTATTATTATTATGAGTATGATTGTAAGTTGAAAAAATACATGAAAGTTTTTAAACATTAATAATAAAAATAATCAATCAATAATAATTCAAGTTTTCGATTATAAATTTGAAATTTTTTAATTTTATTTAATATTCGACATCATTTTTTAAAAAATTACCGATTGTAATGATAAGATTATCAATAGTTACATTTATTAGTGATAATTTATTAACAAGTGTGAAAAATTTAAACTCAAATTTAAAAAAAAAAAAAAAATAATAAATCAATAGTGGAAGAAGATGATGATGATGATGATGTTCTAATTTACTGTTTCGGTTTCCTCTGAAACAGTCCAATGCAAAATTAAAGTAATTATTAATTCTTGCAACTCGACTCTTCAAAGCTAACTATTTTAAAATATATATGTAACATTTAATTTTAATAATCAGGTCAAACATGTAATTGCAAACACAAACATGGATATTAAAGTGGGATGTTAAATTTTTACAAAATAGATATATAGATATAATTCATTTCGAATGAATGAAATTTAAAATAGCAGTTTATATATATATATATATATTAAAATTAAAACTTTTTAAATCGTGTAAATCGTTAGAAAGAATCTCACATTTATGATTTATTATTCTTATTTATATATAAAAAAAGTTTTTTTTAATGAGATCAACAGCTGACACATACACACATAGGTGTCCATTCGCACACAAACCACACACACAATTTCGAATTCATGATTTTTTTTATATTATTTTATATTGCATTATGACAAAAAAAGGTGTTTTATATATCATGCTTTACTTTTTTTTTCAATTGATGTTTTTTTTTATGATCACAACAAGGTTTATTTTTAAATGTTTTATTTAAATGATGATGTTTGTATTTTAAATATTTTTTATTTTTTTTTATTTTGGTGTCTTTCCCCACGCTTTTATTATTATTATTATTATTTGTTGGTTATTTTTTTAAATTTAAATGTGATTCATAAAATTGTATAGTTTTTTAATTTGAAAAAATGATACCAAAAAAAAATTAAAATAAAAAGTTGAAGTTGTTAATGAAAAAAATTTATAATTATATATATATAATTATAAATTATAAATACATTTTTAATAATTTTTAAATACATTTTTTATAATTATAAATACATTTTTTGTTTTTTGTTTTTTTTCGGTGGTTGATTATATTTTCACGGTTGAATCGTTGAAAAATATATTTTTATTTTTTTATTACTCGTTATTAAAATAATAAATTATATATGTAATAAAAAAGAAAAAGTAAAAGAAAGAAACGTACGTTAAATTGCCACTCTCGCCTCGTTTTTTTTTTAGTTTTTTTAGTTTTTATTGATTGTAGTTTGGTGGTAAAAACTATACGTGTTAAATTTTCGGTGCCGAAAATTTGAAAATTTCATAAAAAAACTCGTTAGCGGTTTTTTTTTCTTAACAACCACGTTTTCCATATTTTTTTTATAGAATTTTTTTATTGTTCTATGATGAAATTGAATGCGATTCGAATTAAGACTTGTAAAAAAAAAAAAAAAAAAAAAAAAATAAATTTATTTATTTATGTATTCTTATGTATTTTAAGATGCTGCTGTCGCACGATTTATATATATATAAACTCCCACGTTTATTTTCTTTAAAATTTAAGACTAATGACACGGATATGCATTTGAGAAAAATTTATATTTGACCTCTTTTTTTTTTTTTTTTTTTTTATAACGTCGATATCGTCACAATTTGTTAAAAAAAAAATTAATTTAAATTACCGGCCCCGAAAAATATTAGTAATAATAATAATTTTTTCAAGTATATTTATTTATAATTTTTTTTTGTAATTAAAAATTTTAAGCGTCGTGAACACTCGCATATAATTAAAAGGACTACTAGTACTAGTACCACGACTACTACTTTTTCATTAATTAATTAATTAAATGACTCGAAATAATGATAGAAATCATTCGAGGAACGAATAAGTTTTCCTCTAAGTAACTTCGAAGCAATTTAACGTTTTATTTCTTTTACTTTTTGTTTTTGTTTGTTTGTTTGTTTGTTTGTTGTAATGACAGGTACGGGTTTTTTCAAGTCTGTATATATAGAAAAATACATTTATCGAAAACAAACGACTGAATTAACATTTAAAAAAAAAAAAAAAACTACGTATTTAAAATTTACGGTGGGAAACTAACCGAATCCGTAAGAAAAATCAAAATCCATAACGTTTTTTTTATCATCATCATCATCATCGACGTCTTCCTCTTTATTATTATTATTATTATTTTAATCATTGGAAATGGAATCGTAGAATACGAAATTTTTTTTTTTTTTTTTTTTTTTAATCCTCGTTCTGATACGGTTCAAAAAGAATAAATGGGCTTTCAAGTTCGTCGTCACAGTCGAAAGATTTGCTTATAGTTCGGTGCAAATTTTTTTTTTTTTTTTTAGGCGTATAATATAATTGGAAGAAATTATTATCATTATTATTACGATTATTATTATTATTATTCGTTTTATTTTGTGTCGGAAAAATTATCGTTTCCGTTCGACTTTGTTTTTTTTCGAATGCGTTCTTTTAATTTTTTTTTTTTTTGAAAAAAAATTTGTTGAAAGAAATTTGCGTGGTCATACTCATTGCAAAGTTCAATTAAACTAGTTCCACGATGTTTTTTTTTTTTTTTTGGAATTATCTAATTAGTTTCTTCTTCTTTTTTTTTCTTCGGGAGAGAATAAAAATTCAAATATGAAAATTATCGGGGGGGAGTGTTTGTGGGGTTTTTAGTTGTATGAAATCAATTTGTGGGCGAGAAGAAAACATTGATTGCTCCTTAAAGGAAAAGAGAGAAAGAGTGAGAGAGAGAGGGAAAAAAATTATACAATGCGTCGAATAAGAAGAGGCGTGAGTTGTTGTTGTTGTTGTTGTTATGGCGTTTGTCGGCGTGAAATTATTTTTTTTTAAATTATTACGGGAACCTTAAAAAATTTTTCTATTTTTTTTTTTTTTTTTAAATTTTGGGTTGTTTTAATGATGGCTGGCGTTCGTCATCCCGTTCGTTACGTCACGTTCGACAAATGTTTTCCAATTCCTAGATTTTTGTGTCAGGTTTTCGATATATTCGTAGGTGGAAAAAATAGAAGGAACAAATCTCGTTTCTCTCATTAAAATAATTTGTAAATCCTTTCTTGTACTGACGATCACTCGAGTGAATTGCCAATTTAAATTTATCGTGTCGTGGTTATAGAAAACGGAAAAGAAAAAAGCAGAAGAAAAAGAAGAAAACCTGCATTTTAATTTTTTTCTTTCGTTCTTTTTCTATTAATTATTTTTATTAGTTTTTGTGAGTAATGAACTTGAAATACATTTTGAAAACCTGTTTTTTTTCAATTTTTTCAATTTCCACTCCCTCCCCCCCGTGAAATTAATTAAAAAAAAAAAAAAAAAATTTGCATCGTATCGAACACGCCAATGATTTTTTTTTTTTTTTTTTTCAATTAACTCTAAAACTATAATTTTTTAGTAATGATAATAATAATGATAAAATTATGATTTATGTATGTATGTTGTTTGTTTTGTAATTTGAAAATTTTTTATTTTGCGAAATTTTTGTGCGTTTGTACGCGATATAAAAAGGAAGAGAAGAGAAATTTTTAATATTTTCATGTGGATCGATTTCCGCCGGAAACGTTTTCAATTTTCTTTTTAGAAAAACTGTCGAAAACGATCGGAAAAGAAAAAGAATGAAAAATGTCTCTGATTGGTTGGTTACTTTGAAATCATAGAGTATTTAAATTTTTTAATTTTTTTTTTGTTTGTCGAATGATGATAAGACGACGCTTCGTATTATTGCTTTAAATTGTTGTTTGTAGACTTCCTGGAGATTTAACTTATTTAAACTTGCAACAATAAATTTTTACGACGGAAAAAACTGATTGCAAAGGTTGTTGGTTGTTTGTGTTGTTGTTGATACAAAAAAAAAATTTTTTTTTCCGGGTCCCCGTCGTCGGTTTTGTTTTTTTTTTTTTTTTGGGGAGTGTGGGAAAGGGTGAGAGGGGAACGAAATGTCATATAAAACAAAACAAAAAGAATCATTATTGTTAAAATTATTATTATTACTATTATTTATGCGATGTATCCACAATTTTCGGGGTTTTTTTGTTTTTTTTTTTGTGCGTGCCTGGAATTCAAATATTTGAAATTCATTTATTAAATTAAATATTTGATGGCGGGGGGGGGGGGCTTAATATATATATATATATATATTTAGGCCGTTTTCGACAATCCACGCGTGGTTATTATTATTGGAAATTTAAAAAAAAAAAAAAAACGTTTAATATATGTATGTTGTTTTTAAAATATTTACGAACGAGTTTTCTCGCTCTCTCTCTCTCTCTCTCTCTCTCTTTTTCTGTTTCATCTTCTTTTTACGCGTGAATGAATGTTTTTTTTTTTTTTTTTATGATGTTTCATTTTGAGAATTTTCCTCCTTTTTTTTTTAATTCAAACGCGAAATATATCGTTGTAGTTGTTGTTGTTGTTGTTGTTGTTTTTTGCACTGAGGTCGGCGTTAATTAGATTCTTTTATACGTAGGAGAGGAGAAAAACTGGTTAAAAAAAAAAAAAAAAAAGTTGGATCGAACACGTTGACCAAGGTTTGGGTCAAATTCGATGAGGGTTTTTTATTGAAAAAATCATGCGAGTTCGTAGAACTTTAGAATTTTTTATTTTTTTTATTCGATTCGAACCCTCTCGAACCTCTCGAGTTTTCTGCTGTTTTATTTTCTTCCTTTTTTTTTAATCGGCTTCGTGACCTCCTTTCTTTTTTTTTTTTTTTTTTTTTGGCCTAAATTAGAAAAGCGTCGTGAAATGAATTACGTAATCGTTGCACCATTAAAAATATGGGGTGGCCACACCCCCTCCTTTAGTTTTACTAAAAACTTTTTTAACGTAATTAATTTGTTATTTTTTTTGGGAACTTGTCTTTTTCCTTCTTTGCTTTTTGTTATTCACCTTTGACCTCTTTTTAAATTTCCAGAAAAAAAATCCCAATCATAAAATACGACGTAACCGTTATTTTTGGCATACAAAAGAGAAGAATTGACAGTTTGTAACGATTATTATTATTATTATTATTATGTTTTGGGTTGCATAATTTGTCAAAAATTGAGGATAAAGAAGGGGTAATTTAATTTTTTTAGGGGAGCCTGGGGAAGAGAATAATCAAAAAAGGGCAAACTCCGGGGTTTTTGTTTTTATGACTCGTTTACAAAACGTGGAAATCATTTTTTTTTTAAATTGTTCGTTTGTTTGTTTGTTTGTTTGCGTGACGCAAAATCATAGTCATAGAAATTCGTCACCTCACCGATTGATTAGATTCGTAACGAAACAAACGTTTCCCTAATTTTTTTTTTTTTTTTTTTTTTATTTTGACAAACCGGAAAACGTTTGCGTCATTTAAAATTTTTTAAATAGAAATTATTCTTTTTTTCTTTTTTGGGCGGGGGGAGGGGGTTTCCGGATTTAAAGAAAAACCGTTCGAAACCCGATTCTCACGTTTCTTTTTATTTTTTTTTTTTTATTATTATTAATAGTAATATTTTATTAAATAAAATAAAATAAATAAATAAATGATTAAAAAAAAAAAAAAAATGAAGAAGGAGAATTCAATTGATTATTTTTACGATTCCGGATTTTGTTGTTGTTGTTATTAATAATAAACAAAAGTTTAGACATCGATTAGAAAACCCGTTTTAAAAAAAATGTCAAACCGTATGGTAAAATATGGGAAAAAACAAACAAAAAACAACTACAACAAGAACAATCAAAAAAAAAAAAAAAAAACTTATACAAACGTTTTGATGATGGGTCTCAAAAATTTTTTTATTTTATTACGAGAGTAATAAAATAAATGTGGAAGTAGTAGCGGTGGTGGTGGTGATAGTGGCATAAATTTGTCAGATAAGTTTTTTTAATTGATTCTTTTTTGGACATTCCAGTTCGTTATTTCGTCTACTGACACGTCAGTCTGCCAGGGATTCAATTTTACGAAAAAGGTTCGCGGAAGGGAAAATACTTTTTTTTTTGTTTCCATGCGAAGGGAAAATTCCGGTCATGGAAACCTTTTCTCTTTCCACGTCGTAAATTTTCCGTAAATTCTTCTTTCTTTTTTTTTTTTTTGTATGTTTTTCCCCTCATTCACACCCCGAATTCGCGTAAGCACGTTTCGATGATGTCATCGTTTTTGTGTTTTCTTTTTGCGCAAGTCACCCACGGTGCGGGGTTTTCGACTCTCGTTTTCCCTAAAATTTGTATACAACCGACCTTTTAAAAAGGCTTCTTTTTTTTTTTTGCTCCGTTTCGTCGGAGCGGATTTTTTTTTTTTTTTTTTCGTTTGTTCGGAGTCGTAGAGATAATTTAAAAAATTAATTAGCAGGACGCAGACCGCGGTCATCGAGCGTAATATTCGCACGGGTTATAAGAGGGCCTTTTATCAGGTGGCAATGGTATCAAGGTCTTGGTCATTTTTTTTTTTTTCTTTTTTTTATTCAACTTGGACTCGCCGACGCCATTTTGAAATTTCTTTAAATTTGTTGAGACGCACACACAGAACACAACACAACACAACATCACACGATCTTCGTGCTCGAACCGGATTTCAGTTCGATATTGAAAGTCAGTCAGTCAGTCAGTCTTTGGAATTGAAATTTTTCTAAAACTTTTTTTTTTTTTTTTTTTTCCGTTTCGTTGTTTGTGTTTGTTTTTTTTCGTTTGTTTCGTACTTCGTGCAAATCCGAAATATTTTATAGAAGAAAAAAAAAAAGTGAAGTTTTCCTTTTGCAGATGTTTGATTTTTACGTGTCGTCTCTACGAACAATGGTCAGAAAGAAAACGTTAACGTAATTGTTACGAAGTTTACCGTAACGGAGGATATTTTTTTGCCTTTATTATTATTATTATTATTATTATTTTCTTTTACTCTATCCTAAATGTAAGTCTATGAAATTTTCTAATTATATTATTAAATAAATATCGAATCGATGTTTGTGTAATAGTAGTAGTAAACGAAGGGGTGATCCATGCAATAAAAAAGTATGTGTGTTCGAAAAGGAGGTACTTGTTCACCTATTATTATTATTATTATTATTATTATTATTATTATTATTATTATTATTATTATTATTATTATTATTACTAACGAGGGTTCTTCGTCTTTTAAATTACGCGAAAATAAAAAAAAAAAAATTTAATTCCGAATCGTTTGGGGTCAAATGTCAATTTTATTTAATTTTGATGAACCGTGTTTAGAGTTTTTGTGCCCATATTACCGTAGTAGTTACCTCATTTGAACTCGCGTAATAAAAATGATAACAAGGTTTTTTTTTTTTTTTTTTTTTTTTTTATTCGGTTACGGTCGTAATGACATCACGATCGAAACTGATAAAAAAAATTTTTTTTTTTTTTTTATAAGTCATTATTATTATTATTACGGTCGTCTGGAAAGGAAAAAAAAGAAAAGTCAAGTCGAGAAAAGATGGCGCACGAGATTTGTCATTTTTACCTTATAAAACCGAACCTATAATAAATTCGTTTGATGATTTTCGATTACGTAATTTTACCCATCCCGAGGGATGTGTCTGCTACCACGCCGGGTGGGGAGAGGGAAGGGGCAACGGTGAAACGTAAAAAAAAAAAAAGGCGGTCGTGTTTATTATTCATTTTTCCCCAAAAATGTGAAATTCCAAGTTTTTTTTTTCTGTCAAAGTTTAATTGTACTCTCGAACGAGAAAGGGCAAAAAATTATTATTATTATTAATTATTATTATTATTATTATTATTATTATTATTATTATTATCATCATCAGGTTTTTTTTTTATTGGTTGATGTCAAGCAATGCAGATGTGCTCGAACATGTTTTTCTTTTTTCTTTTCTTTTCTTTTTATTTTTTTCTCTTCTGCTGCATGTTTCTTTTCAATGAGAATGATAAGAAAATCTCACTCGCGTACGCGCTAACATTATTATTATTTTCGAATGATGTTTTTTTTCTCTCTCTCTCTCGTTACTGGTCGCGACACGTTAAATTTTTCAGTCACAATCACATCCGGTTAATTACGTAATTTTTACCTGTCGAATTTTAAAGGAAAAATAAATTTTCAGTATGAGATGATATAAGTCGCAAAAGTTCATTATCAATTCTTCTTTTGTTTTTTTTATGTTTTTATGTTTTTTTTTTGTTTTGTGTTTTTGTTTGTGTTTGTGTTATTTACTACTGTACGAAAAGAGTGTAAAACGAAAGTTACGGAGACGAAAAAAAAAAAAACTGGTTCACCCGATAAAAAAAGTGAAAATGAAATTTTATTATTATTTTTATTATAGCTGCTACTATTGCTGGAGATAATGTTTATTTATTATCGTTCGAATAAGAACGAAATTCGTCGAAACGAATTATTTTGTTGTCTCTTTGTTGTTTTTCTTGTTGTTTGTTGTTGTTGTTGTTGTTGTTGTTGTTGTTGTTATTGTAGGTTTTGTGCTATTTGTTTTTTTTTTTTTTTTTTTTAAATGACTCTCCGAATTAGGTCTCGAATCGATCGAAAATCCCACGTTGTTGATTGATTGATTAAAACTTTAAACGTTTAGTTATTAGTTATCCATAAAAATACACCCGCGCCATATTGAAATGAGAAGAAAGGAAGAAAAAAAAATTTTCAACGGGTTTTGAACTTTGATATAAATAAACTTGACCCGGAATAATTTAGTTGAACTTTTTCTCTAATTTATTACCG